GGGTAAATTTGCAACAACGCCAACAGCTTCACTATATTGGATAATGTGTTTTTTTTTTAGGTGGTTAATTATGGTAGTCGTATTACCATTAAATTTGTATTGGCAAGAACACAAATTGCATTGAACTTTATTATTATTGTCTATTTTCGTAAAAAACTCCCACGCCACACTTTTTCTGTTTCCCGGAGCCATATTAAACTTATGAGTCAGACAAACAATACTTAATAAACTAATAATACCGCAACAAAACAATAAATTACGAACTAAGTACTAATAACAAAAACGTAAACAAAACAAATGTCTAATCTTTTGTGTTAAAACTTTGTCATTTGTTCGCCGAATAAACGAGAGTCGAGAACTATCTCTTTCACTCGCGGCTCGCGGCTCGGACGACGCGACTACGTTTCGTTGTTCGTGCTGACTCGGGCTCGCTCGGTGTCGTTCGGGCCTCGCGAATCGCGGGCTAGACGGCGAGCAGGCGGCGGCGTCGAGTCGAACTCGAGTCGAGCGGCGCGCGGCGGGCTGGCAACCTACCCGCCCCGCTCGCCACCGCGCGCGCTCTTCGGTTCAACCCGAGTTGCAGAAATATTAACTCGGGCTGACTCGTTCACGGTCTGACTCGAGTTGCCCGAGTTAGATAACTCGAGTTGCCCATCGCTAGTTTTTCCTCGGTTACTATAATCTGGCATTCTTGTTTCAAATTATTTGTGCAATAGTGTCATTATGAATGAACACCATACAAGCAGTGATAAAGTGATTACCATCAAAGACATTTCAAATGCGCGAGGTCACGGCGCCTTATATTTTGTCATATATTTATGGATAACTAAATGTTAATAAAACATTAATATGTCTTGAAGTAGATACGTGACAATATAGCACAACCCACCGGAATAAGATATATTTTCATTCTCTTTAGTAGGACAAAATTAACGTAAATAAATAAAAAATAACAATTTATGACCAAAACGCCTACTTATTCTGAAGGTAGAAAATTACAAAAATGACTGTTATACAAAAATGATACCTATATTTTTTTAATTAGCTAAACTGTCGTTAGGGTATATGGAAATATTTGGTGTTCAAAAAGTGCAGTTTAGAAATTCTATAGTTATTGTAATTAACGACGTTCGTAGACATTATTGATGTCCTTTTCTAAAAACGTTTACTGCCTACGTAGGTAGTTTTTCACTTATTTGTATGAAAGTTAATATTTAAAATCAATCTGTTTATTATCCGTTTCGGTATAACTAGTCAATTTTTCTGATCCATAATGTTAAATTGTTATATTTGCGTGTACATACTGTTTGATCTATTATTTAGTTTCTACCTTGTAACCTTCTATATTTTAGAGCTATGATAAGATTATAGTTCTTTCGTATTTACTCATTAATAAAATGAAAAATGTGCGTTGGTTTTAATAGCTTCAATTTGAAAATCATTATATAAGATTAACCAGTTTGATACAGCATAAAATAATGTATTTGCCTTCCCGTTTGGACTTGTGTATGTAATGTGTAAGGCGATGCTGAATCTCTTTTTCTTAGTTACGATTAAGATTGCAGTATTTTCTTTTTAACTTTGCATTTTTGTAATATATTTCCGAAAGGTTTTGTTACTGGTGTACCTGTATCACACTATCGCTAGTTGTGATAAGCATTCTCTTACCTCTGCCTACATTGTCTTATATGTAACTTTTTTACTTGCATATTTGATATTAATAATGGTTATAAGTAATTTACGAATTTTTAACGTCAACAACCGTCTTGGCTTTGAGTGCCATACTAGTTTATTTCAAGGTTTATTTTATATTTTATAACAAAGTTTATTTAGATTTAAGATGAATGGCAAGAGACCATTTTTCTTTTGTAAACACTATGGAATAGAATATTTTGTAATTTGTATCTAATAAAATTTTATCAGCACAACTAACTTAGAATATTATTTGGATGTAATGAATTTGTTTACACCGATTTTTTTTATCGGTGCGTATCATTATTTTAAGAATAACTAATATATTTTTACCTTTATTTTATAGTTGGTATGTCTTTTGTGATTTTCATTTGTATTATTTTTGATCTTTGAGGAAAGAAGCAGTCATTAGGTTTTGCACTCTTTTGACTTGGCAGTGGAACATTATGTAAACGTCAAGTCACAGCTTTCTTTTATCATGTTGTGCTACTTATTGCATTGCGCAACCACGAATTTCGATTGCGTCCAAAATTGATGCCGTATTGGTTCTAGTTTGCATAAATAAATCGCTTTCATTTACTTAAGTGTGTATCTAAAGTATAATTTAGCTGGCTAAGCACAATGCTTCGTGTCATATGAAGTCAAAAAAAATTGTGCGTAAAATGGAAGTGCTCACACTCGAAATCTCAAACGACAACTAAAATCGATAAAGCTATTAATAGTGTTTCTGTAAACACATGCAGCACCTATAAGGTGGCTGTATTAGCGTCACAAACTTACATCACAAAACATGGTTGCGAGTGAGATTTTGGACGCGAGTACGGCACAATTTATTAATTACTTTCTGTGTGGCTCACATTTTTAACATGTATGTATGTGTATTGACGTGGTTTTTATTAATGTATATTCATTAAAAAATGTATACAAAATTGTTTTTTATTTGTGGAATGATACATCCCCTTAAATAGTAATTAAGTTCCCCTCTATTTAGGTTTAGTCATTGCATCTAGTCTAGAACATTCAATGACGTCCGGCTTCGTAAGTATCGTTTGATTGTGCATCAATCAAGTGGGTGTGTGATTTGTCCCATCTGTACGCGCCGCGTGACGATACAATTGTGTGAACTGATGCTGCTATTATGATGGAATATTTTTAACTGCAAGTCACATGGGATTGCTTTTATTTTGGAATTATTTACCCTTTGTAAATACTAATATATCTTGTTTACATTTTTCCTGGGAAGTAGGTACTAGCATCAACAACATTCTGTTATTGTTCTCATTTTTATAGTCCTCACTACGATTATGGGGCTCTGGTATTACCTACGTAGGTATTAACCGTTTCCGTGCGGATGATGCCGCACAGGCACCATGTAAATCTATTGCGTATGGCGTATGGTGCCCGAGAGGATACAAAACTAAATCATACAAAACTCGGCTTAAACGACATTCGTTAAAAGAGCCCCCTAAATAAAAGTGTCTTTATTTGTCACCCTTATCATGCCCACAGTGTTCGTTTTAAGTAATTTCGCAAATTAGCTGACATCAGGGGTTGTAAACCAAGTTGCCGACACATTTTATTATTGATTATAATTGTAACAGCCCACTTTCTGGAATGTTTCTCAAAAATCAAAGGCTTTTGTCATAAGGTTCATTGTTGCCTAAAAACGTACAAAGAGTGCGCTGTTCGCCGGCCCTTCGCCTACGAAGTACCGTATTTCCTTGCGTATACGGTTGATTATTGTTTAAAACTACGCCGTTCATAATTGTTTGCGCCGGCGCACAGTACAATATTTTGATAAACTAGACGGACAAAAGTCAATTTAGGACATGTCTTAAATGATCCTTCCAACGCCAAAGAATCAAGACAAGCTGCTTTGCTCTGGTATTGGTACAAAATAATTTTGTCCTGCTAGTTTTTCATACTAACTGTGCGGTGCATAACTATTTCACCCCGGCCGGGGCGGCGGGGCCCCGCACTTCTGTCTTATATTTAGTTTAGTCAGGAATATATTTCATTTTTTTTCTGGGTAACTCTACAACAAAAAAAAACTTGTCAATTAAACGCTTAACAAAAATCCACGTTTTTAAATGGATAGACAGATATTTTTTATCAATAAAAACACATTTACATTCTTATCCAAATAAAACACTTCAAAATCATGTAAATGTTTATAGGTACCTACGAGTACAATATTTTTGATTCATTAGAATCGGACTTCCCATTCAGCTAAATGTTCTACAGTAATCCAGTATTTTGTAGAGAAACAATTTTATCATCAAAATAGTGAAGTTAAAATTGTTTCCCTACAAAACACTGTACTATAAATAAATATCACCTCGCGACAAACTCAAGTGGTACGAGTATAAATTCTTTACAACACTTGAATAAATAAATCCATGAAATAATGCAAAAAGGTTTACGACCCCTAATATAAATTAGTCACTTACCTTCCATTTCCATAAAAACACACAGATCGTCACTTTTAAACGCACTGAACGAATTTACTGACTGCCTACGTTAGATACACAATGTCAAATGATTATTTTAGCAAGTAGAAACACGAAAACAAGCTAAAAGTGACAATTCATGGCGGATGATTCCCCAGGGGAATCATCAAACTTTCTGGCGCTTGGTGCCTCAGAGGCATCACAGAATTTTTGTTTGACGCCAGGCACTAAAGATTGCTAAAAAGACTTCCGCACGGAATCGGTTAAGAAAGGTAGGTACTAACATTTTTACTCTAACGAAACCAATCAATACCTATTTCTTGAGATAAGACCCATCAATAAAAAAGTATATTTTATTTAGAATTGTTCTATGAAATTATCTAGGTACCTACTTTACAGCCATAACTTTCCGAAAGCAGATCTTAGCAAGAAGATGTGAAATATAATTAAGTATATGAATTCAGAACAAAGAATCATACTCCTGGCCTGACCGCTTTGTCAAAATATTTAAATAAATAAAACGTGTTACTATTAAAAAAATCTAGATGTTTATTATTGGGGAGAAGTTACTACCGAAGTTTTCGCAATTAATTTACAAAGTTACTAAATTTCGTTCTTGCTTACAGATACTTGTTCGTTGTTCTTATAAGTTTGAAAAAAAAGTTTTTGTCTTATGCTTATCAGGTTACTGGCAAATATAGGGCCATGCCACAACTCTTGTACCTACCAATTGAAAAGTTAATTAATATCCTAAAACTTTTATTTGTTTAATCACCATCATCAATAAACCAACGTTCAGACTACGAATTACCAATGTATTCTGGAATATACCTAAGTACCTACTTTGCAAACTAGTGTTCATGCACTTGTTTTCGGTTTAAACATACCTATAAGTACATTAGGCGGGCTCGTCAGTTGGTTATTCGCTAACATGGCTGCCAAATAAGAAATCTCGGTATCAGAGCGTAGGTACTCAGTATTGATATCCAGGGTGAGCAGTAGGTACGTCATACCAGAGATTTTTTGACGACCATGCTTAAGTAGGTCTGAATCGGAATTGGGCACATCTGGTATAGGGCGCAATAGGAGCATAGCCATAGCCATAGCCGTGATGACGTAATTATGAACTGCACTATGGGAGCAAGGTAAAGTTAAAAATGTTACATATAATGAAGGACAAAATAATATGAGCCCCATTAGTGGAGGATTTACTGTATACTGTAAGTATATAAATATTTTTATACTTTTTTTAATTTATGGAACTATAGATCGCATTTGTATATTTAAATCCTTCCTAGTTATTTGAATCATAAGAGGTACCTACATCCACACCTATCGAGTCCATCACAACAAACCTTTGTATTTATTATTATTTATTTAACATGAGAATGTTCATATATATAAGAACAATGGTAGGTAAATTAACATGTTTACAGGAAAATAATATTTAATTTAATAAAGGCGGTCCAGACTGATATGTAAATGTAAATAAAATTAATTAGCTTCATATTGCACAGGACTCGTATGATAAGTTATTACCTAACTACCTCCTAACTAATTAAAACAGGTGCAATTTGTGTTGCCTACGGCTTTGATACCTAGTTAGCAGGTGGTTGGATATAGTACCTATAAGAATGTACCTAACATTGATTTGTGAGTGTGGTTAAATTATTAATTAATGAAAATAACCAAATTAATGGAAATTTTCAGTAGATTATAATAATGATTGTTAAACGGGTATTTCAGAGCTTAAAATTAAAACACATTTTAATAAAAATAACAATGTAATTAATTATATTTATTTCTCAATCAGAGTCATCTAAATACATTAGGACCCAATATTCGTTGAATATATCTTTGACCAGGTCATAAACTAATTAAACAATTACAAATCTTAAAAAAATATTTTAAATGTATATGACTATTTATTAGCATGAGATTTTATTGCAGTACATATACCATAGTTGATTGTTTCGATTATTCTATTTGCTATTTAGAATTGTATGAGGCACGGGTTTCCTCTCGTCTAATTATTTCATCGCACCCCTATAAAGCTTGTATCAGTTCTACAGTATTCATTCAAGTGATCTGTAACAATGTTTTGTCAACTTCGAAAATTTTAATCTAGAATTATGCTTCATGACATTTAGAATTCGAATCAAGCGTTAATTTCGGGAAAGTGAACAATGATAAAGCGAATTAACAAATAATTGTGCACGAGTGATATTAGGTTAATATTATTAATTGACAACATATGTAATGGCAGTGTCTACTGTATCAGAATCGGAAAAATGCAGTTATGTGGCAGTCTCTCTGGGCGATATCATTTTCTCCGAAACTAAGCGCTTGATTTGGCAAAACATACCAATCTACGTTTAACTTCGACACCAATTAAGAGATTTTTATAAAATGTAAACTCGTCAAAAAATCAAGTAACAATATTTCTAGCTTAGAACTAGCATCATGTTAGGTACGGCAGGACTCGAGTATAAAAATGGAAGCGATGGATTTCTCGAAACGTCAAACTATCATGCTGTCATGTACCTGCAAAAAAATAAAAAATATCTGTAATGTCTTTAGCATAATAGAATAGGATTTGGGAAATAAGAAGACCGCTGTGCTGCCTGCCAGGAAAGTGAAATAGACTCAGACATATACAAGAAACAAGAACAGTTTAAGATACCCCTATTCAAAAAAGCATATTACAGGCATTTTCATTTTCTGCTCTGCCCCATCTGGGGTGCATTAGCATTTTAAAAATGGAAAGCAAGGAAAGCGTGCTTAGTACCTATTTACGGGTTTATTTTACGGTTTAAGTTAGTATGCATATGTATGAATTAATTATAGTAGTACATTCCTATAAAATAAGCATCAATTCTTCAGAAGATCAAATTAAGTGAAAAGTGCTTTAAATAAGTGAGTACCTAGATATACAATATAACACCCAGACAAGGTAGGTAAGTATATCATTATTCTAAATTTCAAAAATCCAAAATGTCCGTCTACTATTTAAAAATAATATGCCGAGAAGTAAAAAAACATTGTGATGAATGAAACAAAGAAAACATACATGCTGTCATAAAGCATCTATATAAAAACACAGAGAAAATGAGATATTTTAAAGGAATCTCAAACAGAAATATTCTCGGTTCTGAGATTATTTAAATAAACGCTTTAAATGCCGTAAGAAATAACACAACTGCAGAATAGATAAAAGAAGACATAGATATTACAAATCGTTACTAACAAAAATAAATACCGACAATACGAACGAGCCTGTTATCGTTCAGCTTATCCTCCTAAACGTTTCCTGTCTCGGCACAAACTGACTACTTCCTAATTGACTCGACAATACTTTGCAATAGGTACCTACTTACACTTTAAAGTCAACAAGCATATAAAATTCACGAGACAAGCGTCCAATCTTGCATTGCGACATGTTTTCGAAAACGACCGGTTCCTTCACTATTTTATTATTTCTCAGGTTATACAACTGAATGACGTCATTGAATTTGATTTGTCAGCAACATTGTAATAGGTTTTTTATTGTAACTTGTCATGATCACAAAACTGATCAACATTAGTCTGTTCTGAGGAAATAGGCTTTAAGTAAATCCACCTACTGCAAAAAACAACTAGGTAGTTCAGAAGAACTAGTCATACAAATAAGATTATAAACTTAATGTAATATAATAATATAGAAATAGTCTGAACATTTGTTAAATTATTATTGTAAGATTAGGTCAATTTCTTTTTATTAATAGGTGACCTATTGTTAGATCGAAATTTATTTTCGGTTCTGCGTGCAATGAGATAAATTTATCGCGCAAAATTTTACCGCCTGCATAGATATTTCCATAAGATACAATGTGTAACAGAATTGTGAAATAAAAAATCCCCGAAAAAAATATTTTGCTATGAGGACAGGCGGGAAAAGGCCAATCTTCGTCTGCGTAGAGTGCAAACAATGCTCTTACTCGAACGGATCTGGCGGGAGGAACCGCCTGGGTGTTTCGTGTGTTGATGACCACCCGAAGGACACGCTGACGCATACGGTTGCGATGAGAAAAAGTCAAAATTGTTAAATATTCGCGATCTTGTAGTATGAAACATAAAAGTTATTGTACCTAGTTCTCATTACAACGTCAAAATATTGAACGTTATCAAATCTTTCGCTCTTGTAATAGGCAGTCTGGTAAACTTGAAGCCTCGTATTATAAACTTCCCACGGGTGACATGAAACATATTACATCGCAAAATTGGAGCACGTAAATAAAAAAGTTTTCAACACAATCTTAACGTTGACAATCTGTACAAGATTCCTTCTTATCCAGGGACAATATAACAGTATCTGAATATTTGACACTTAAGTTTCGTTTCAGCCTGGTTTTAGAGCAATTTAATTGATTTTTATATTTAATTGGTTCCCTTAAAAGGTTCTCTAAAATAACATTTTAAGTAAAAATATAACACCGTTTTTCTTTTCATTTTGGTAATAAAACTTGTTTTACTTGTTGTGTTTTGGCTCATCATCATCATTAAGTACCGTAAAATGATAATATTTCATGCCGCTGAATACTTCTTAACTATAACTTTATGCGAATTCATTAAATATTTTTAAGAGCTATTGGAAATATAAGTAACTACTGGAGTCTCTAAATTAATTATCTATTGTAGGAACCTATAAAATGTTGTATTGAATGGATATTTTTAATTAAACCGCATACAGTACTAACACAACAATACACGTAGTACTTACATTAATTATGACATTTGACTTGATTAGGTACTCTACAACTACTACACAAAAACTATTAATGTTTATCATTAGTAGTGAGACGTTGGCGAGTTTGACATTATTTCGTTACTGTTACACGCCTACGAAGCCAAATAAATGAAACATTCACCATCTTAATACATTAAGACCACCCATCCACCACCACAAAAATAACTAAGTACAGATAACCTACTGACCTTAACCCAGAGTCCATTTTCCACTCAGTTGCGATGAAACGTACTGTATGGATGTAAAAATATTATTCATCAATACATTTTCAAACAATTGGTAAGAAATCAAAACAACTCAGGCATCCATACTTCTACTTTTCCGTGTATTTGGCTAAGTTAATAACTTCGCTGTAAATGAAAACTGATACAGTTATGTTTTTCAAACAATAATATTGGCGTTAAATATTGATACGGACACTAATTTTATGGATTATTTCGCGATTTTATTGGGTAACTTATTTAAACGATAAATTAAGACTTATTTAATGAAATTGGACAGTGCTCATGGGCTCGGGTCTTTCAAAACTGTGTAATTACGTTGCGTCATCGCTTCGGTACCGAGATCTTGGTCCAGGTATTAAATTGAGCTGTATTATCTTATCTGCTTGGTAGTATGTGAATATACTACGTAAGTATAGCTACTTCTTAGTTTTCACCTTCAATATTGATATGACATTTACGAAGTACGTACAAGACTAGATGTTTTAATGTCCATAATACGATGAGGTGGAAACTCACCAAGAAAATAAACCTACTTATTTTACTATGAACCATTTTCCACTGTTTTCACACAAAAGTGCGGTCATCTCATTGTCGTATTGTTTGTGTTTAAAAAAGAATAACTAGTATTATTATAATCATTATAAAGGTAAATAGTTTCAACGGTTTCAATAGATCTATTGCACTTATCACATGATATAAAGGCTATAGGAATGTACATAGGTATTCGATGTTACACTTGGAATCGGTTATAAAGTTTAAATTGCACTAGTGCACATTCTAAATTACAAAAAGTAACATAATAAATGCAGTATCAATCTTCTAAATATTATTTACCTACCATCTTTTACAACACCCATGAAAACCGCCAATCACTTACAGACAGAATATTAAAAAAATCAATATTCTTTTTGACGCGAAATAATACACAAAATTGCTTAGCTTTGATCTAAGTAAATATTTAAATATATAAGCTAAGCATAGTTATATATAAACAAAATATGTATTAAATATCTGTTAACACATTCAGCTACAAAGTACTATGTAATATATTATAACAAGTATAGACAATATCCAGACTAACGGTATCTTGGCAGATCATATTGCATTTTGATATGTATAATTTTGTATCATACGATTTTATATTGACCGACCTTTCTGTAAAATGTAGAGATATTATGACAAGTATTCTTATATAAACATAGGCACTTGTAACTAGGAATTAAATTTGATTATATGAATTCATAGAATTAAGTGTACTTAAATTATTATATGAATTCATATTATATATTTTTATTACTTATATTAACTCATAGATAAGAGTATTCTATGAATTTATATAAATGTACTAATTGATAGTATTTTTTGCATGCCGTATTGTATGTTATTTATTTTCATTTCAACTATTTGCACTTATTCTATTAAATATAAAGGCATTACTTAAATTGTTTTGAAAGATAGTAATTCATAAACTTATGCACCTAGCTGTTGAATACTAGCGATTCTATTTTTTTTACAACGAGTATGAGGTCCTATTAAGTCTTGGCATAATTAATTATATTACAAAGGACTCATTGGCATCTTATTATATAATTCTCACTTTAACACATTTAAAGGGTTAGATTGTAGAAAAAAAACCCATTCCTAACTGCAAGTCTGCAGAGTTAAAAATGTATCCGAAAGTCACCTGTAATAAATATTTGTGACACAATAAACTTGATTCGACAACTACGATTGATTTTGGGGAGCTCGCCGCTATTTAAAAGAAGTAAGTATGCAATTGATACTTTAAAAAACGATTACCTATAATATTGCAAGGCACGAACTTTGTATTTCTGGACGAATATTAAGCAGTTTTATAATATCAGTAGCAATGTAACTCTGCGATTAAGTAAATGTAACATTACATATTGCTAAATATGTAGTTAAGTGTATCTCAATCTTTCCTAATAGAACTAAGATTCTAGTTCTAGTGTCTGTGTGACAGTGACTGTACACATGTTTTGAACAGTACTGTACAAGCGGTACGAATAGTTATGCAGTAAAACAATAGTCCGTTAATTAATTTGTTTCTTTATCGTGCATATGTCTTGAGTTCTTGACGAACAATACCTACAATTATCATGAGCACTGCCAACTACTGATTCCGTTATTATTTACTATCTAAGTTTATAATTTCTCATTTGTCATGTTTCATCCTACTAAATATTATACTTCTTTTACATAGGAACCTACTTCCCAAATACTACATGTCATACCTACTAAGCCTAATTAACTGAAAGCTAATAAGGCAGTTCTTACGTAACTACGTATTTTACAAGTAAATAATTTATTATTAATATCTTAACAATATAATGGAATCATTTTTACTACCTAATTATATTATATTTATCTAACTACCTACAGGTACTTCGTATAATTCTATTAACTTCTGGTATTTACGGCCAAAATGACTAAATATAAAATTATTATATTAGATTATTTAAAACAATATTATGTTTTAGCACCTTATAGAACATACTTTTAGAAAATTAATTATTAGTTGGCAACATCTGCTAAACAGAAATAAAAAAATAATAATATGACTATTAAAATATTGAAGTCACCAAAGCCAAGTTGATAATAATTAATTAATCAAACTTTTTTCATTTGATCAATTACCAGAATGTTTAATATTATTATTAATTTTGGGGGATACAGCACCAAAATTAAATTGTAAATATGAAATTTTGTTTTCTATGGTCCATGCTATCATCTAATTACGAGCATAGCATCATTATATAATTGGTACATTGTTACTAAAATGGTAATGGTAACTTTGCATGTTTGAATAACAATAATCCATCTACTCATGTCTCTTAAAAGCTTCTACCAAGAGTGCCTTAAGTGGCCTGCCAGCCCTCGCTGGAGATGTTTACATTTCTGTTTTAATTATACCTTCAGGCAGCACACACCTCTTTAAGTATAAATAACAATAAAATCTACCCCTGCTATTTGGCAAATAATCTGTTTTAATTCATTAACCCAACCCTTTTTAATCAACAAGTACTAAGACTAAATCAATAAGCTACAAGTAATGGTTGCATCACATAGAAGAAAATATTTTGTGCAAAATTGGAGCCCCCATTCTATAACCAATTTTATGAGTGGATGATGAAATATACAACATATTTGTTTCTTCAATTTTGTAGAGAATATAATACCCTTCCTCATACCTTAGTAAGAATTAGATTGTGGCAGATTTATTTAAATGGGTTTTGCCAGCTTCACTATTGTGTAGGCTATAGGAAAATGTTTGTGGGCCAATCAATTTCACTTTTTAATAATAGCATTTGCAGATTATGTGTATGAATAATGCAAAAAATATTATAGGAATGGTATTAACCATTTCGATCATTATCATAAATATAAATAAATTATAATAACTGTCATTCACATTTTCAGCATTGCCTCATCAGAGGAGGCACTGAAATATTCAGACAGCAATAAAAATTGATTGTCTATATTTTTTACCTTATCTGTATCAACAGTTCAATGTAGCAGATTTTCATTTTATAAAAATTTGCTTTGTTTATCCACAGATAAAATAGTGGCAGTAAATCTTAGAGCAATGTTGTAAAATAGATATCTACTAATAAATAATAAAAAAATATAACATGCCAAGAGCTGAAACTAAAAAAAATGCATTTACTTAATAATAGCTGTCTCAAAATTCCGCTTCAGTATTTTAGATATGCATTTTTTTTTAATATTTTCAGCTCTTTACGTAGCAGCACAAAGTTTGCTTTCAGCTTTTTATGTAGCAGCATTAAAACGTGATAAACTACCCATGAACTTAAAAAAGCTTTGTAATGAGTATTATTGCAAGGAACCCATTATTATAATTGTGTGAAGTGGAACCAATTACCTCCTTAACATATTATATATTTCGCAAATGCACTATTTTCATTAAATACAATTTTTACTGTTTCTTTGCATAATATTCTGCAATTGATATAAGCAAATTGTAGAGGAATGTCTACATATTCATAAATTAGAGTTTCAAGCAAATTTTTTGCAAGCTGATGTTAATTACGCATTAAATTAAAAACATATATAAAGTAATCATAAATCATAATTTGAGAACTAAAGATCCAACTCTATAATGGCATAACATACATGCACAACAAGTCATATAAATATATGACAGTCAACTGTTACTATTTATATAGATTGTTATGAACATTTTAAGACAGGGAATTAATTGGTTCCACAGAAACTGTGTTTATGAATTGAAACACACAAACTTAAAGAAAAAAGAAAACAACCAGCAAACAGACAATATGTGATAACCATCAAATCAGTTACTTTAAAACTAGTGTTATACTTTACCCCATCCATGTTTGTAAAACCTTTTTTTGTAACGTTTAGAGAAAAAGTATTTAATAACTAAAATAAGAATAATGAAAGATAATATGTACAGGAGACTTAGCATTCCGATGTCCAAATTGGAGAATGGAACCGAAGGTGCTGCGGATGACCTTGCGCGTCGCATGGATTGGATACTTGAGGCACCGTAAACATTTTGAAGGTATTGATATACGGCTGGAAGATTCCAAGCTCCTCGGGCTAGCCTGCATTCAGGACACCTGGCGACACTTGGAAACTGGATCTTTGGATGCTCAGGATCCTCAGTAATATCTCCTGCTAACCTAAGATTTACTTCATTATGTGCTATCCACAGCCAAAGTACAGCTTTATCATTTTCTTTCACGTCAAATATTCTATTTCTTGCTGCCATTGCTTGGAAATGTCCAGCACATTCTGTGCAGCCGAAAAAGTTCTTCACATAACCATGCATAGCTTTTAAAACTTTTGGACTTTCTTTACCAGGTTTTTGAGCGGCATTTACAGTTAGAGTGTGGAATAGTGTCCAAAGTCCACAAGTGTATCCACGGAATTTTGGCTGGCTACCTTTGCACCTCACATATTCTAAATTGGTTGTGTATACTGGTGCATGTGTTATCTCCAACTGTTTAACTACTTCATAGACTTCACCACCATCCCAGCTATTCCTTGATGCAAGAGTAGTACGCAATTCTGTGATAAACTCTCTAAGATTCCCTCTAAAAGGAAATGAGACAATGATAACATCCAGATAGTCTAAGAGTGCTTGCAGAGGCTCACCAGTCAGGGTTTTAAATCTAGTGATTTCAGTGTGTAAACTTGTTTTAATTGTTTTCTCCAAGTCACTATAATATACAAGATCAGTATTGACAGTCACAGGTTTTTCATTGGAGTGGTCATTAGTGAGTATTTCCTGACTACCATGATCACGTGCAGGAAAAGCATAGTTTTTAGATTTCAAGAATGAATTAATTGCTTTCAGTAACCCCAACTTACTATAGTCTTTGGGCACAAGTGTCGTAGACTCTAAAGTAGAACTGATAGCTATAAGTCCTGGAAATTGTTTAATATTTGCTACTTCTGCAATTTCACTAGTTTCATGCACTCTCTTTACTTTAACATTAGGATAATCATTTAGGTCTAAAGCAAGCTCAGATCCTAATGTAGAATTAGCATTTTCCAATACAAGAAATGTGTATTTAATGTTGGCAGGCACATCTTTAACAGCAGATGCATAGTCTGTGATGGATTCAATACCAAGAGAAGGTGCAAATTGTAGATTTCCAATAGTTTGATCATTTTGCATTCTAGTGATTATTTGAGCTTTAAGTTTTTCTAGTGTGTCAGTTAACTGTATCTTATCACCAACATTACCATTTCCTTTGACATAATTCTCATGCAAATAGCGTAAGGATGGGTAAGCCATTACTTCAAACTGTCTACAAATCTCATTGTTTTCTTCAACAGAACAGTCAATAACAGCTAGCCTTATAATATTTCTCCAATTTATCATTTCAGATGCCATGGCTTTAAATCTGGGAGCAAATGCTCGACAGTGTCCGCAATAGCTATTGTAGAATTGAGCCACAATCGCATGGTTCTGCCCATAAATTTTCTTTTCAAAATTACGATTTGTTAATATATCAACATGATCAGACTTACTATAAAGTCCTTGTTGTTCAACATCACCATCTTCCACAATAACTGCACTATACACCAAGGCGATTAATAAAGCATTAAATAAAACTATTGCATAGCCCAGGTTCATTTTGAATGCTCTCGTTAACGGGAAGCGAGGCACGTCACGTTACAATTATTAAGTTTGCAGGTAGTAATCGAAACACGGCTTTCGCCGGCGACTCCGGAGTCCGAACTAAAGAAAACAAGTGTAACACGAACATCATGATAATTCATAGGCTAATACTTGGATACGTCATTTCTTCTACACGATTCCTCGCCTTGTTTCTATTCAACCAAAAGTGTTATAAGACAAAAACTAACGACCTACGAACCGTCCGGACCAAACTGACAGTGGCAGTCAGTGTCAATTTTACTTATATGTCATGCAAAGTCATAGACTATACAAAATCATAATAATATGGACTCGGTATTTCCCATGGACCTCTCGTCCATGGTATTTCCTACGAAATCTGCTACTCTGTCACCCAGTCCATAAAATGGCCGCCATAGCTAGTGGGACTACAACGAATCAAAACCAAAAAGTGTCGATATCGATTCCAGAATATATTGGAATTTCTTAATATATATTAGGAATTTCTTAATATATATTAGGAATTACCTTATTCTATTAACTTTTTATTATATTATTGTTGTATAACTTATAAACTGAAGTGAAGTTTTGTTATAAGAGCATCAAACACCTCATCGCTGGTTGTTGGTTAAAACATTTACACCTTATTTAGGCTTTTGTAACGCGGTATTCCAACGGTTTGTGTCGTACATTTGGACGTTATAGGTAATGCTACATCTCTTGTCTGCTATCCCGCCATTAACTGCTCGACGCTTGCTAAGGCGCGAAACGTGAGCAACTGCACGGCGAACTTTGAATTATTGTGTGTTCGTTTCCGTTCACGGGATCACAGGATCCTGAACCTTTGGAAGGCGTACGAGGGGCCGAAGCCAACTCGCAGAGGCCTGTTGAACAACTTTAATTTAAGTGAAATGGGACATCAGCCGGTAATTATCCCTGTATGCACTATGAAAGTGCACCCAAGGACAATCTCTGATTGAAGGAGGACTATTGCGAAATGTGGTAAAAAAAATATAGGGGTATGGGTTGCTATGGGCTGGTGGATATGATAACTATGGAAATACTATGGCCCCTGCCCCTGACCAATATTGATACATACGGATAAACAGGCAGGGGGTGACTGGCAAACTCAATTAATGGGCCCCCGGAAACGGCCGCTAGCATGTAGCGACACGGAGGCAACATAGGTTGAGCTGCTTGGGGAAGGAGAGGCATCCCACGGCTATCAGAGCAATCCCGGAAGTACGGTCAAGACCCCTACCAGCACCTTACTGAGATAAATCCTTCCCCCGAGTCTTGCAAATCTCCACTCAAGTCAGCCAATTAAGGCAAGAATGAGGTAGGAGGGCTTGTTCTTCATCAGTTTTCACTCCAGCTCGTCACGAGAACTAACCGGAGATGAAGAACAAGACACCTCCCGGGAGTCAGGTCCGTGGGGTCGCCACTGCCCAACAGCTCGCCTCAAGCTGTCTTGCGGATGAAATATTGTTATTATTAGTTAACACTTGAAATTATGTTAAAATAAATAAACATACTGAATTAAAAAAAAAATCTAAATTCAATCACTAGTCTATTTTAATTTCTTACACATCAATCTCTGATCTGATATTTAGTAATATTGTATAAATTATATTATTTTTCTACAGCTACACCATATGTAGTCTATCTTAAATAAAGGTACACATCATTGAGATAGAAAATATATAGAGGCGCCGTGTTACTATAGAAGTATACATGCTTATACAAATATGAGGGAAATATGAAATAAACTATGAAATATCATTTTTTCTCACTCTTTCTAAGGCAATAATTGTATTAGACAAAAGGGACAACAATATTTAAGTTGTTGCTTAATATGGAAACAAATCATTTTGACATTAGCAAAGTTGTAGGTAAGTGCCATGTCCGCCATCTTAAGCGCTCAGAGTACCTGAGTTTCATGGTAGTTGTGCTGTCAAACGGTTGTTTATGTTTTAAATTATTGCGGTTTTTCAGTAAATTACAAAGAACCATTTTTTAAACTTCAAATATATATAGTGAAACAAAAAAACAATATGCCTGTGTGTTGTATTGTGCAGTGTAGTGCAAAAAAGAAAGAAAATCAACCTCAATTGTCTTTGTATAGGTTAGTAAACAGTTTTCATCAAATATTACTTAGAATAATCCACATAGATAGAAAAAAATGTCACGGGTACTTTAATCTATTGCCAAGGTATATATATTTACTTTTATTTCTGTCTGTGAGACAGTTTTAGTAAAAAATTGTTGTTTACAATAATATGTCAATATGGCATAGTTACGTACCATTTCACAAAAGTATCGATATAATCTCCCATTTAAAATTCAACATATATTATACTAAATAATCTATTTTAACAATGGATGTTTCCACAGTTTTATGTAACGCTAAAGTAAGACGTCAGTATTTTGGTATTGGTTTTAGTTACATAAGTAGAAGTTCAAATTATCATGTTTTATACGGGCGCGATTGACAGAGCGGCGTTGGCGACGATCCCAGTGCGACCACCAAGCGTAATAATAAAAAGTGAGATACATACAATAAGATTGACTTCACTACATATCTATTTTGTGCTAACGTAGTTTCGAAGATATCATCGCTTAATCAGACGCGCCGAAATTGAGCGCGAGCACTTCACAAATACCCACAGGTTTTCCACATATATAAAGATAAACATTTAACAAACACTATCTTTTTCTATTTCATCATTCCATTAAACGCTGTTCATAAACACAGTCCTATTTTTTTAAAAGACGCTTTACGTAGTATTATATGAATACAAATTCGACTTGAGAAAATCATTAGCCAATCAAGAGACCAAGTTAACCCCGGGTTCCGGGCTCTAGCTAGGCCGACGGCAAAGTAGGAACAGGAGTTAATTTTAGTTAGTAACGGTCTGTCCCGAAAAAGGCCGGAGATAACATTAGATGATTTCCCATAAACTATTTTTTTGATTGATTTCCGATAAACTATACCTACGTAGAACTTTTACTCAAATTGTATCGATACTCGTTAAATACTTAGTCGGCACAACCCTAGCAACGGCAGCCATCTTATGCGACATTTTGGATTGTAGGTAGGCACATTTTTTTCGTAGGTATTTCAAGTCCATATATTTCCTATGTCAATGGTACACATCACTGTTTGACGTTTCTGTTTGACTTGACAGTGAATTTCAATGGAGTGACAACTGACAATGACAAGTGTTGGCTCTGGCCATCACAACACACTGCTCATTGAACGAGTTCCTGATTACTATCAACATCTGCATATTTTGGTAAGTCAATGCTGTGCTGGAAGTAGTCTTATTCTGGCCTCATTTCTTTTCCAATTTTCTTGTTGGATTGTTGACTTTTCTGGCACTTAAAGTTCGATCGTTAAACGTTAACGGATAACTGATGGAATCTACCAAAGCTCAATAAGTACCTACGTATTCAGTAAATAATTAAGAATTTGTCTACCGTCTAATAAAATACTCAGTTATACGATTTTATATGTAGGGTATACATTTTTTTGAGGCAAAAGGTAGTATGGGGTCGCATTTTTGGGCGCGTCGGCCTGTACTGAGCATGCCTGAAATTCAGGCACCAAATTATTGATTACCTTCATTGCGCATGTTTTGGGGGTCTAGACAAAGCTAGCGATCTAGTGCTTTAGTCGCCGCACCCAGTTTTGCTGCGGCAATCTTTAATTGCAGATGTCGTAATGTCTTTTGGTACAGTGAAGTTCAATATTTAAATTATTTCTTACTTGATTGCAATATTATGCAATTGTGGTAAACATGTGTAAAACGCGTGATTGAATTATTGAATTTTGAACTTTGCAGGCACTATGTCATCTCGCCAATTTCGCAAGGTGAACGGGCAAGCTAACCTGCCCCCACCTCCAGACGATTCAGATGAAGACTATCAGCCTTTGTATGCCCGCCGTCCGGCTAATTCTCAATATGCAGGGGTAAGTCGGTATCCGTTTGAATGCTGTGTGTTATCATTTAGTTGATTTTTTTTAAACATACCCACATTGTTATATTTATGTTAAGAAAACTAACTGCGACATCAATGGAATTGCAAAGCTAATGTGATTGATATGTGCAGTGTTATTTGCTATAAGCATTTATATCAAACTTTCATCATTTGCGACATATGGAATTTTTTGCTTGTTCTTTTGATTTGCATTGCACTTGTGCTGTGTACTAAGCATATATGGGTAGAATGCATATATAGCAATGTGAAGTCTGGCTTTCAAGTATGTTCTTTACATCAACCTAAATAAATCTTATTTGTTACATATCCTATCCTATTTGACATGCTCTAAGTAGATGCAACAATCTTTGTGTGCAATCATTCAGTCATTGCAACAAACTGTTGTGTCTCGCCGGATATGTGCAATTGAGGATGCTAATACTTATATAAGCACTTGCATCCTGTAAGGGGCAAAGAAGTGAATATTTAGAAAGCAATAATGTGTCAATAATTTGGACTGTATAATATAAAAAGCATATTACACATCATAATTTACAAGAAAATCAAAATGGCGGCTATGGGAAGGGTAAAGGGGTGGAATTTACGTCGCTTTGTCTGCAATGCGGCGCAACGCGCACATGCGCAGTAATAAAACAACTCAACGAGGTTGTTTGACCGGCAGCTGCACCTCTCCTAAAGCGCAGTTACGAAAAACAAAGCATAAGTACCATTTATTATAAAAAATAATAAAAATACATCTGATCTCAGTAGGTTCTAATGAATAATGAAACTTAACAGCTTTCAAAGTTTTGAAATGCACATGCAAGGTCATGTGCAGTCACATTTTACAAACTACCCTCAGATTTGTTTCGTCATAAAAATTATGTATACTTGTTTACACACTTAGGTTCTATTACCACTTGTATCTTTTCACCCTAAAACATCATAATACTTGTCCTACCAGCACTGCCATATAGTCTTTGGTTAAGTTAGACTGATTATAACTGACTGATGACATTGTGTAAGTGCTACAAAATTTTAGAATTAATTGTAGCTCCAGATGTATTACCATACCCGTCTGTAGTACTTTTTTTCGTTACACTTCCTTATAAAGTGGGTCTTCACGTGGCAATTAGGCATATAATGACACCTATAAGCGCCGCCTTTTTCATTACTAATTCACGAGTGAATAATCCTTTTTTTTTTAATTTTTGGAGATTGGTGGATTTCGAGTTATGCTTACACTTGCGCTAAAATGCTATACGCGAAAAGTTTAAAAAAAGAAACCTCGTTTTAGTCTATGGCCGATTTATCCGCGCATAGGAAAACTGACTATTTTTCCCGCCATTATGAAACATTTTTCACAACTCGTCTCGTTCTCTCTTCTCAAGTAGGTACGTGTTTGTTTGTTGTGGTGGTTTTTTGTTGAATTATTATTTAATCAAAAGTGTGTTGGAAAACGTATGATACACGTGACCAGTGATGATTGCCGTTCGCGGCTCAGCCAGCTCTGACAGCTCGGGCCTCAATGCGCCTCAGCGGTTATTAATTATTTATTAACATGACACACTTGTACCAGAATTTACTATTAGTATTATTAAACTATTTGTATATTGTACAATAGGGAGATCCACTTATAAACTTAAGATTTCTCAAAAGGCATAGCATAGTTACTTTAAACGCTCTTACTGTAAAAGTTGTGATCTCGTATTTAGATGATATTGTATAGAAACTCCTTTTAAATATTAAAGGAGGGACTCTCAAAGTCTCTCTTCGCCATTGATCGAAGCTTTTGAAATGGCATTTACTCCAAATATACATGAATAAGCTTGCGATAAATTACATAGCTGCTACTGCATAATTTGTCTTAACATAACCCTTCTTACTTATTTCCCTGTAGTTATTCGTATAATGAACCCTAAATGGTAATATAAATTTGAGAATCGACACTGCTAGCGTTGACTATGTATACTAATCGACATTTCTATAGAACTGTATGTTTTTATTTGAAACTTGTTACAGTTGGCGTTAAGCTCCCACTCTGAATCAGACCGCAGCTCACGTAGCGAAGAGGAGTTGCAAGATAGAGCCGAGGCTTTGCCAGTTCAAAAGAAGAACACCAAGAAAAAGGGAGGCGGCGGCAAAGGACGCGGTCGCAGGACATCGAATGATGTAAATACTTATATTATGTCAAATGTATAGTACCCGCAAGAACTATCCCTGATCATGATGCATACCTAATAATGTGATTTTTATATAATAATACTAAAGCCCGAAACACAAAATAAATCTTACTATTTTTGTAACACAGGTTGATGATGTTGATCGTTCTATCCAAGAAGTGAATGCTATGCTGGGTTCCCCTTCTAGTCTTCTGCCGTCTGCGGCTGGAACATCTGAATCGCCCAAGGTTAACGAGGCTTTGCAGGTACTAACCGTTGATGCCCGCCACCTTAATGTCACAAATGAGGTCAGGCGACTCTTTGGGCCTGATGAAAACGAACTCAACAAGCGGTAATTACATATGAACAAAATATTTTGTGCCTTGATAATATTTTAATTAGAGTTATTTAATTTTATCTTAATTTTGCAGTGGACGTATGCATTCCAGTCGCGCTTTTATGTTGCGTCGTGTTTTGGTTCATCCGAATAAAGACACGCTCATATATGAGTTTAACAATGTTGGTAAGTTTAAGGCGTATTAAATATTTCTGTTTGTTAGTGTGTTTTTATTTCGATATTGAAACGGGTTATTTTTTAATTTCAGGACTGTCCATGAGTAAATATAAGGAAGTAAACAAGCGCATGTATTTTGTTTTTAATCACAACGAGTCGTACCAAAAGATGCACCGCGCTTTTCTCGCCAAGTATTCGCGTGCACAATCCACCGAATTATTGATGGGCCTAGAAGAGGCACGGCGTAACATGCACGTCGAAGCATTGTTAGAAGTAAGTGTCACAAAATATATGTAATCTGGTACAAGGCTGCACGTATCGTGAGTTTGATTCAAGAACGGGGCAAACTTTTTTCTTTCCAAAAATGATTGCTCCAGTGTATGTATGTAAAATCGTGTGTTTGTAAATGCAACCAAACACAAGGCCCTAAAATAGGATATTCTTTGCAATTTTTTATTAAATTCTTTTCAAAAAGTGAATGAAAGAAAGGACAACGGTTAAAATGTTATTTATTGAATAATAAAATATAACATAGTTAACAGCCTATATTCACTTGCATACCTTGTTTCTCTTTTTCAGATTTCCGACCGTTTATTCCGTATGGAAGAAAATGGCGTTGCTAATGAAATTGTGGAGAACGTCGTACTCTTTCTCCAGTACGTGGCTCACCCACTGTTTATTCTGTCCCAGGTATGTAAAAAAAATATTTGAAACGTTTTTAATAAACAAGCATCCGTAATAGGTATTATAGTTGTAAATAATACTATTACCAAATATTTTTTGCAGAATAATGTCCGATTGGATTATAAATATATGGAGAACAGGCCATTCCATGTGGCCATGCTAAAGTACGTGTACCTGCTTTCAAACAAAGCCTGTCACCGCACTGCATTGGAGATAGCCAAGATGCTGCTCCTGCTTGACCCTAATGATCCGTTGGCACTGTTAGCTTTGATTGACATCCTTGCTCTGCGAGCGAGGGAGCATGAATGGCTGATTGACGCAATCCGCTATTTCGATCGCCAGCGAGAGGCCAAACTTCTATTTAACATCAAGTATTCCAATGCTTTAGCGCACTTCCATGTTGCCATTAAAAACAGAGGTATGTAAAGCACTTTTAATTTTTCACTTATAATCGTCCGTCATCTTTATCCTATTAAGGAATGGTTTAATCCAAATTAATATTATAAATGCAAAAGTAACTTTGTCTGTCTGTCTTTTCGTCACGCCTAAACTACTAAACCGATTTCTGTGAAATTTGGTACAGACATAGTTTGGAACTCGAGAAAGGTTATAGGATAGCTTTTATAACAAAAATCTTCAGGAATAATCTATTCCACGCTGAGTCGCGGGCAAAAGCTAGTCTTTAATATTATTATTTTTTCAGGTGACTTCAATGAATCAGATCAGCTTATCAAGGAGGCTATATTAGCTCACCCCCAGGTATTCGTACACATTATGGCATGCTGCGGCGTTTCCAACCCTGCCATACTGAATCACGCTATCTTCAAACGTGATCTGCAGAATCCGTAAGTCCTTTTTTACCTAAAGCTCTAAGCAGTTTACATCAACTTGTAAAACTTACTGCATTTGTCAAGATATTTTTTGTAGAAGTGGCGACTAGACGATATATTGATAAGTTATTGTTTTTAGGTGGACCCCAGGAGTAGAGGAGCTGTTTCTAATCTACGCCAAGATGACTGCACCACGCTGGAATGAACCACCCGTGATGGGTTGGATCACTAAGAATGCTGGCGAGCTCTGCAAGAGCTACGATGAGGATGCCACTGTTCGGGTAAGACATATCAATTATGTTTTACCCGCACTTTCGCTCCCGTCATACCTTTTTTTTTTTTTTTTTTTGATTACGGGGGGAAACCTTCAAAAGGCGCCTAGCTTTTTGGGGAGAAAGACTAGGGAGTGTGGGATTTTTACCTCACTAAAACCACCCCGGTGGCCACCCTCATCACCTGTCAGGGGCCCCGGGTCCTCTACAAGAGACCTGCTCCGGAGCCCCCACGATGAAACGCCTGTGACGGCACATCCCTCGAGTACGAGCCTCGCTGTGTACGGCGGTACGTGACCACTGTACCACCGTCTTCCCTGGGACCACTGAATGAGCACCTAGAGTCCCCCCTCTATGCACCCGTGACCCCAAAGGTCCGCCTGAATTTCATGCAGGCGGGATTCGGCGTATTAGGCGTCAAGGCGGTTGCCTCCTCGACGCCTTCTACGAGCAGGATCGGCCCTCTCACGATCCCGCTCAGCAGCCTCCTTTTGGGACATAACAGTCTCGCAAAACGAAGCCACTTCCCTCCAATTTTCTGCATCTGCCAGCATAGCCCTAACTACTGCTGGCAGAGACAAGTCTCGCCCGATCTTGGCGACTAGGACCCGCCGCTCAGAAGCCCACGCTGGGCACTCCTCGAGCGTGTGCTGTGCGGAATCCAGGTCACCTCCGCAGTGGTGGCAATTTGCCGTGGCCTCTCGCCCAATCCTGTTCAGATACTCCCCGAAGCATCCATGTCCGGTTAGCACCTGAGTAAGCCTGAAGGAGACGCGCTCCTCTCTTTTCAGCCAGGCTTCGAAGTGCGGCAGAATGGCTTCAACAACGCGCTTTCGTGAGAGCTCCGGCTGTTCTAGCCGCTCACGCCACCGCTCGAGCGCGTGTCGCCTCTCTTGCCGCCTCAGCCTAACGAACGCCACTCCTGGCATTCTACCGCCATTTCGGCGGACAGTGCGAATTTGGTCGTAGACTTTCGCGTCCATGTCCGCCAGGATATCCAATGGCGGAAAGCGTCGCTCCCGTCATACCTACCGTACCCTACCCCTGCCTTACCTTACCCTTTCTACTTTACCCATATCCTTTGTCCTTCTCCCAGTTCTTAGCTACATCCCTACGAATTATAATATTAAGTGTAACTAACACTGCTTTCTTTTATGTATTAAGATTTCTTTTAATAAAATAGTTGAACTGTTCGCATTTGTACTGTGTGTATACAATAGTAATTGGCATGTAAAATATTTCAGGAGACTGCCAATGACTGGGCTGTTAGCCGCCACGGCCTGTTTCAGGTTTGGCCCCCAGAATATCTGCGCCACATCTCTGTGCTCTCCTGCATGTCCAAGCTAATCCTCGACATGGTAATTAATATCTTAATTACATTATATTGCTATATTAAAACCAAATCGTTCTGATGAAAGTTGTAATTTGGACTATGGACTATATAGTTTGAAGTATGAAATTATAGTGTAAGTGTTGTTTGTTTGCAGCCGGTTAACTCTTTCTTCCGACCCACGTGCGGCTGGGACCCTGTTTTCGACAAGTCGGTCAACCGCTACGGCTACTCATACAAGACCGACCCGCCCCGCAACCTGGGCGTGGGCGGCTCGCCTGTTTACAGGTTCTTCCACTCAATGATCCCGTCTTATTTCGATCCTCCGGTTGACGAATGAGTTCACTGTTTTTTAGTTTAAAATATTTTTAATTTACTTACCTATGTATTGGTGTTGCTGAAAACAATAATGAAATCTACCAATGTTGACATTTTATATTACTACACAATATTTATTTGTTTTATTTTATATTTACGTTTTGTTTTTTTAAGTTTATTTGTTACATTGTAATTATATTATGTATACATAATACATATGGGGTATAAGGGTTAAGTGGAAGTAAATATTAATTAGGCACAACAAAGTAAGTCTAATCCCTAAAAAAGATATGATTACCTTATGTTGGTACACATTTTTTTTAATTGGCATAATTGTTTTAAGGTATCTACGGACTAGCTCGATTGCAGCTATTCACACAACCGCGCGAGAACATAATTTAGTTTTTTGACAGTTAAGTCCAGGTCTGTAAACACACATGTTGTCGTGGTATCAAGCTTCGGTAACTAATAATAATAGCTTCATATATCATTCAGAGAAAATGTATCATTCCTAAATAATATACCTACCTAGAATGAAGTAAATATGCTTCATACAAGTGATTTGAAAGCCTCCTGCTTTTTAGTTCTTGCAAGTCTGCAGAATCCTGTTTAGTTTTTTAATTATTTTTGTAATAAGTTCAAATCAGTAATAATTTGTCTCAATGGTGTCTTTACAAAAATTCGTAACGATCAGTTTCGATACAATACTTAATATTGACCCTATTGGTATATTAATTAAACGACAGTCGTTGCATATTATTGATAAAATGAAAGACGATATAATTTTTTCATACAGCCAGAACTAAGGAGTAGGTTGAATTTCTAATCACTGAGTTCGCGCACCATACACTATTCCAATAATATTCCAATAGTTCCTAACTTAATAGGTGCTATTAAATTTTGTACATAATAAGTCGTAGCTTCAAGTTTATACAAAAATTGGCTCATAATCGCACCATCATCGTTATAAAATAAATTTGTAAATATAGAAATAGGTACAAATACAGCACAAAAGATACAATAAATATGCTTTATGTATGTTTTTTATTTTATTTTTATTAGACTCACTGGCCAACCGACTCCTAAAAAAGCGCTTAATAGTTCCATATAAATAATTTAAATGAAGTAGAGTTTCGTTTGCTACTCGTGATCAGTGTCGGGGTCTTTTGGATCAGATTGCGAGTACGTCAATCGTTCACTCCGCGGCTAAGTAAGTTTTATTTCAGTGCTACAAACACTAACATTACTATATGGTACAATTAACTTAAAGCGCTTTTTGTATGTGTGGTTTGATGTGTAATTGTTTATCTGCTAACAAATTGACAATAATTGCTGCACAAAAATAAACTTTATTTGAATCGGTTTATAGATCAAGCTGAGGGGAATGTTTTCGTTAAAATCTTGAAGTTTTGCTTTAATCTACAACAGCTGAGAATAAGGTTAAATAAGAGCAACATGTAAGAAACAGTTTTGTTTGCAGATATACAAAATGCGTTGAGTACAATGTTTCACATCGAAGTTGGGTATGTAATATCGCAGGTACTCAATGGAAATACCTTTTTGTTCGCAGCAATGATATCCGTAACGACCATTTCATAATGTTGTCGCAAATCGCCATGCATCCGGCTTGCTTCCCGTACATCAACTTTGTTCACAATGAACCATTCTACGTGCCAGCCGCTAGGTACGCTGCTCCGGATTATGCTTTCGTCCCACATCACGAATTTGTGAATCCGGCATTCATGCAAGATTTTGGACCTGAGTTTGCTCCCGAATTTGGGCCCGAATATATGCCCAACGGGGCTTATCCCGAGAGTGATAATGAGAATGACCGCGAAGCTCACCGCCCCCAAGAACAGGTGCAGCAGGCTGTCGCACCAGAACAGATGCAGCAACCTGTCCCATACGTGGGATACGAATTGCCGTACTTTGAGATCCCGGGGCCGCTTCTAGAAGCACCACTTCTGGCTGGACCTCAATTTTGGCTGCCAATTGAGGCACACGACGTTCCTTTTGATATGCCACGTAACATACCACCAGAGCACCTTGCCAATGAAACCATTTTCGATGCCGAGACTGGATACATTAACTACGACTATGATGACGACGAAGGAAACTTCGCTACTTACGAGAAGGACATGGCCGCAGCTCTGGCCGCTGTGAGCCTCGATGACAACATCGGCATCGGGTTTTACCCTAATAACGCTGTTTAAGACTTGATTCCTGTGATTTTCTATTTTGTAATTTGAACTGTATTTTTGATATTTATATATTTAATTATTACCTAAAGTTTTGGATTCCGATCTACCTTTATAAAAACAAAATCATTCAAAATTTGCCCGATCTGTTATGAATTATAATTGATCAGATTTAGTTAGACTCTTTTAGTATGATATAATTACACTTGCTTCAGTGATTTGAGACAGCTTGTGTTTGTGGAGATATCAATATCAATCAAATGGTATCTTCCAATATCTACTTTATAATATATGCATATTATGCTTTTGGATAAGGCACCATTGAGTGATGTGGTTAGCTGGCGTTTAATCAAATTTTATGCGTTTAGCGCAGAAGCTAAAAAGAAGAAATCACCAGAGGCAAAGGCAACTTCTACTTTTCTCCTATTAGTCGTTTCTTCATAAGTCATGTCTTGATAGCTACTCCTTATCTAAAGTCTTTTTAGAATAGAATGAATTTGATAACTTTCTGACTTCGGCATATTTAAGAGCGATGTGGATTTTATCAGAGATTCAAAAGTCTCACACAGGTATTTCTTGAGATATTCCTGTCGCGTTAAATGTTTGTCATCTTACCCTTTTGCCGTCTGGAACCTTCTTTTTATTTTTGTTTTACAACCACCCTGATCGCTAAGCACGTGAGCCAATATAAATGAACTGATTCACTATCTCAAAGCGATCCAATGCAATGCTCATATTGACTTTGTTGCCCCGTCCAAATATCATTATTTCAGTTTTGAAACTCAGTCCAAATTTCGGCTTTCTGTCATTTCCGCGATAGACCCCAAATAGATTGTATCCTCTTACTGTTAAAGCTATTTCCTCTGCACAAATATCCAGTTATCAACAGTTAGTCTGTTGGTGGTGAGAACTGAATATGTGTAATTATACTACTTCAATATAATTATTTCGAATTCTCTATTACCACTATGACTTAGATTAGCAAGACGTAACTTTGTCCTTGTGTGAAAATATTATCACATTTAATATACTTAACATTGATGTTTCATGTTTCACAATACAAGTAATAGTTTCAGCATTTAATAATATAAAGTAGGAGTTAAGGTATTGATTGACGAGCGAACATTCTGGATCATTGCAGAACAAGAATCGGTTTGAGAAACTGAAGAGCCAGGCTCATAGGCCCTGAGCATTGAATGTAGGTGCGCCTCAGCCACGCGATTGGCGTTACCCTTGAAGGGACTACCGTTTTGCACGTCACAATGACGATCCGCGGTTAAAACCGTACCTAACACCATGATCTGGAGTTTCGCTCGATGATCGGTACCTTCAATTTGTGTCTAATATATACTCAATACCTAGATGTTTTCTTTATAATAATATTAATATGATGGCAGCAGTAGCAATGAGTGGAAATGTACCTATGTATATGTGTTTTAATGAATGATTTTTACTGTATGAATGTAAATCCGAATTAAGGAGGAATAGAATACCAAAGCTTGACTGAAAATTGACTGACATATCAACGACCATGCCAGCCCTCAAGTTTGGAACGTGTTGGTTGTGCATTTATAAGCTTAACAGGGTACTTTTGGAAGGCGGATTTTGGAAAGTTTTGAAAATGGTCTAATATTATAATCTACTTTTGAAATATTCAATAAGTGTTAGCATTTATTGTCATTTACTATTGATATTTATTGTATTGGTAAGGATAAAACATGGTATTATAGTACCGTCAGGTACCCAAAATTTTTGAAAACGTATTATGAATGTGTAGTTGTTAGTCAAGCAAAGCTGACTTTGTAGTGATATAGTCATGCTGTTATTGTGGTGTACCTAATAAAAATAAAGGCACATTATGTTGTTTTATTTCCAAATCTTCTATACTGTTTTAGTTAGGTTACATACCTGTTTATTTTTCTTTTATTACATGTACATAACTACAGCGTATCACCACATAACAGCACGTAAAGCTTACCTTACAGAAAATGGAGAACGCAGAATAAGTCTGCAAGACCACGTTACATGGCGTAAGCCTACATTACACTGAATACACTGAGTAAAATACCATTGCACAGGGTAACTCCACATAAAAAAATATAGAACAGCTTGCCACGTCATAGCACAGCTTGCCACGTCATAGCACAGCTTGCCACGTCAAAGCATAGCTTCGCATGCATGGCATAGTTCAGCACGTCATAACATAGCTTGGCACGTCATAACATAGCTTGGCACTTCATAGCACAGCTTATCACGTCAGCATAGCATGATACGTTATAGCAAAGCTTGTCACGACATAGCATAGCTTGTCACGATATAGCATTACATGTCACGTCCAAGCATAGCTTGGCACGTCATAGTATAGCTTTCCACGTAATATCATAGCTTGACACGTCATATAATAGGTAGCTAAGCACGTCTTTGTTTAGCTTGACAGGTCATAGCATAGCTTGGCACGTCATAGCGTAGTTTGGCACGTCATAGCATAGTTTGGCACGTTAAAGCTCAGCTTGCCACAACATAGCCTAGATTGGCACATCATATTATAGCTTGCCACAACATAGCATATCTTGCCACAACATAGCATAGCTTGCCACAACATAGCATAGCTTGCCACAACATAGCATAGCTTGCCACAACATAGCATAGCTTGCCACAACATAGCATAGCTTGCCACAACAAAGCATAGCTTAGCACGTCATATCATAGCTGTTTACTTCATAGTATACCTTGCCACCTCATAGCATAGCTTGCCACATCATAGCATAGCCTGACACGTCGTAGACTAGCTCAGCACGCCATATAATAACTAATCACTTCATAAAATAGCTTGTCATCTCATAGCATATCTTGCCACGTCATAGCATAGCTAAGCACACCGTATTATAGCTTGCCACAACAAAGCATGGAAATTATTCTTTACAGGGAAATGCTGCGTCGCACATCATAGCACAGAATAATGCAGCTTAATACAAGTAAGTAATATAACGAAGAATAAATTAAAACACACGTTTCACCGATAAGATATAAAAATACGCATTACAACAGTCACTATTTAATGTCATCTTATGGGGTCATTTATTTATTTATTTATTTAGGCTTACCAACTAAGACACATACAGACAATCTTAAAAATAAATAAAACAACAGTTAGTATGCTCTCAAATTAAAGGTAGGCTCAACATTATTTTTAGGTTGTTCAAGTAAAAGAGTTAAAAATTAAAAGTAATTAAAAATAAAAGAAATTAAGAGATTGGGTAAAACATAAGAAAACTGTAAAAAAATAAAAATTATAAAAATTAAAAATTAGGCAAACTCTTAATGTCTCTTTTAAATACACTTAATTTACTTGCAAATATATCCAAGTCGTGTTTTTTATAAATGTCATTACACTTTCTGAGAGTTTAAGTGAGAGGTGCGTTGCTGCCATACTTATTTCGGGTATGTTTCTTCATTCTTTATCTAACCTCTGAAGTGAACGCATATGAACAGATTAAGCAAGAAATATCCAACAACCGATTCGGCAGCTCAAGTTATTCATAGTTCTGCTGCAATTAGGGATGTGGTAAGTATTTTTTTTTAGGGGAAGCATCATCTTTTTGCTTTACTGACACTGCCTTCCCTCATATGCTCAAGGCCGAGGCTGCGGTACCTTCCGTATACTTTATTGCGCGTAATTTGCAACCCCGGTTGAACATCAGTCCTGTTGGGCCTCGTCTGTGGTGATCTGTTGCCTTTTTGAGACGCACTCAGAACGAGTCGTGTGCTCGGGTCTGGTTCTTGTCGGGCGGCGAACTACCCCTACTCGCCGTCCATGTTTACGGTGGTCGGAGATCGTCGCGCAACCTGCTTCGCGAAAAGGGCGACGGGTCCCCAGTTCCTCTTACTCCGCCCCATAGCCTCAACTAAGACCGAAGTACTAAGGTATAATGTTATTCGGTAGGTATTTAAAATAATCTATAAGCTGGCGTGCTTATAACCTAATAAAACTAGAGTGGGTAGGTCTCTACCTAGCCTGCACAGTCTGCACACGCAATGTGTCACATATTTCTGGAGTAGGTATACTATGTATTATATACCTACTAATTAGATAAGTTTTTAAAAGGGCAAATAACTTAAACTTGCAAATCTTGGAATTCTTATAAAATATTCTACAAAGAAAATAATACGATTTGTTATTTACCCGTTTACCTTATTTCGAGTAGTAAGTTCTAATACCTATCATGTTGTATGAACTTGATACCAATGATAACTTTAATAAAAGAATTGAACTACTCACAGATCTTTTTCTAACTAACTTCCTACCTAGCTAACTTCTAAATAACAGCATGAAATATCTAAATATATTTTAGCGCCATCTATGTAGTAAAGTGTATATTTTTATGCTACTTGGGTAACACACTCCACAATTTTTCCCCTTGCATACCAGCGTATAAGTACGGTATGGCAATCTTATTAAAGTTATTTGTACCAGTTTTGCAACACAGATGTCAGAACATTACTCATACGAGAAACAAACGATTCGTGAGTAATTTTCGATTCATGCTACAGAAATTCAGACAATTTAGGAAGGTATTATATTATTTTTTTGTTTAAATCCGGAACTTTATGAATTAGGTACAGTCAAAGTGTCATCTTAATGAAGAAAAGTGGTTGAGACAGGAGAGTTTATTTAAAAAGCAATGAACAGAACGGAGCTTGCTGTTACGTTATGAAATTAAGTCTACCAATGCACAAAATATACTAACATTACAAAACTTAGAACTTACACAACGGTGTACACGGCAGCGACCGTGACGGTTGGAGTTAAGTCAAAATTAGTAATAGGTATCTACCTATACAACCTATATCTAAGCATAGACGTTTGGTTCAAACTTCTTTCAATCGGACTTCCATTGCTTGGTAATGAAAATCCTTCAAATCTGTCATTTCCTCCTAAGAGTGTCACTGTCCGTGCCGTATAATTGTAGTAAAGTATTTTTTTAGGAATATATTGTTTATTGTTAAGAATTTAATAATGGTTCACAATCAGCCTACGTCGATATTTTGTATAATAGCGACAGAGTTTTGTGAAAGATTTTCCTTCTGCGGTCTGAGAAGTACGTACCGTATGATTAAAGTATTATGTCAATTCCAAGTATTTGTTGGTTATCTACATTGTAGTTTAGTAGGATTTCTTAATATAATGGTGTGTTTGTTTGTGTGCGTGTACCCGGTATGCGTGCTTGACCGGCCAACTGACGACAGCAACGACAACGGATCTTAGGTACCCACACGAATAAACTTTGAGATGATGCGCAGGCAACGAACCGTGAAGTTTGTGTGAGGTTTCCAGCTTTATAAGTGTGACGAAAGTAGGTATATGCATAGCAAGATCTTCAGAGTCTAGAACACCGACGTTTAGTGGCAAGCCTACCTATGTGTGTTCTACGGGCTTCACTTCGGAGAGGCCCAATCCTTCCCCTACCCCAATGCCTTCCCAATCCCTAAATCCCTAAAATCCCAATCCCTAAAAGGTTGGCAACGCACTCGTAACTCCTTGTTTGTTGCGGGTGTCCATGGGCGACGCTGATTGCTTACCGTCAGGTAATCCGTCTGCTCGTTTGCCGTCCTATCACATAAAAAAAGAGTGTGTGATGGAATTGCACCAATGGTTTAGTAATATATAATATGTCTATGAATTGCACAATTTAATTCCCTCTGCACCATTTCACCAGTGAACTACGCGTCGTGGTCAGGGACTCCATGCATAAGTCGTCGTCGACAATTGACAGAAGCCGTTGTCGTTTATAACATAAAAATAAAAAATAAAAATAAATTTAAGTAACATTTGAAATAGTGAAAGGTATTTAAAAAAAAAATTAACAGCCGTTCAATATTGCGAGCGTAGTTTTTAATATTTATATGAAAGTTTTCTACCAGTATGATATAGTTACATGTACATAAAAACACTCGGGGATTGCTATTATTTAAGCATTTTATGCGAAAAATATTTTTTTATTATGTGTTAAAGTGGGCAGGAAAAAACTTCGCCACAGTGCTTTTGTTTATAGCCTTTTTTTGACGATTCTGCATTTAAATATTTATTGAGAATTCACTTTTACATTGTATATATTGTCTGCTTCAAATACGTTTTGAAAACCTGTTGCAGCAGTAGTATTTATATCGGAATGTTGGGCTCAACACGACTGCACTTGTTACGCTGGGTAGAGCTTTAGATTTTTGTTCTGAGGAAGGAAATTATCAAATGAGACTCTTACTCACTTAGTATACTAGAATCGTTCCTTCAGCTATTCCGGGTCAGAGTCATACATTATATTATAGCGCGTGCATCCGCAACCCCAGCTGGACAATGGCGCTACTCTACCTCAGATTCTGGTGTGTGCTTTAGTCTAATGACTCATAGACGCGGGTGCGGATCGCTGCGCGTCGTATGCTCCGGTCTGGTTCTGGTCACGCACGCCGTATCCTTCTTTGCAAGCATCACTGCGTCGCAGAAAATGAGAGAGGTCACCGTCTATTATTTCTTGGTTATGTCATAGCCTGCAATGCAACCTTAAACTAGTAAATGAGTTAAATTGTCGGTTTTACTCGCAGAACACTTTTTCGTCTTCAAGTCAAGTCAAGTTAAAGTCTTGCAGATAGTTGGGACGAAAAGACCAGTCTAAGTTTTCCTTACGTTGTCCGACCAAGCCAATTTTATAAGCGTCCAAATTCTTTCCAGCCTTAGGCTAGGCTGATCTGGATACATTACAAGTCCTTCCCGTATAATATAATAGGTATTATTGTTTGAAGTGAGAGAGATAGAGAGAGATACTTTTCATGTGGTCATGCCCTTTCCTATGCAGTGCCCAGAATAGGATTTGCAAAAATTTTGGGGAAAATAACGTCACTATGTCTCACTCTTCGACACGATACAAAAGTGCAGACTGTTGATTTGGTACTCGGTCGTTGTAATCAAGACAGGTTTCTCAGCAGTTTGTACCAAAATGACATCGATACAAAGATTTCAGAACAGGCCTGGTTTCAATCAAGGCTTTAATATCGTCATAGGGAGGTAGTGCTTTTTCATAGTTCAGTTCATAGCTATAGTGTACTTACAAAACTATAGAAGTCTAATTCGTATCTACTCGTATTGCATTATATTTAAATGATTGTGTAATTTTACGAGTACCTGCAACATGATATAAAGCGCCTTTAATAAATCCTTTATTAATATTAAATACAGCTAGGCAAAAATTAAAAGTGAAAAATATTTTTATTTTAACCAAATGTCAGGAACAATAAAAGATAGGGCCCGCATTTGTTGATACCTCACAACAATTCCTAAAGCGGTTAACCCGGATGTAGTGTTGCTAGCGTGTATTTTTTGTGATCTAGGCACTAAAAATATTTCACCAACTGAAGTCTCTTTGTTGCCATACTGGCACTGCGGTAATATATTTTTCTAGAAATGGGAAATAATAATTAACTACTATACTACAGTATACTAAAAGAAGATACGAAACTGGGATAAGCAGTAATGCTCACGCCTCATCAGCCTATGACTGCACACCGCTGAGGCCTCTCTCTCACGGAGAATGTGAGAAATTAAAGATTCGAAGCCTAAGTTTTGTCACGACGACGTAGGGCAAGTGGTTTCTAAAAAGACTTAACTGTTCACACTTAGTACATGTCGTCTAGATAGACTTACATTAGGTAGTACTTGGTTGATTTCGAAATCGCGTCCTCATTGCATGAGAAGCGCGCGCCCAAACCTCCATGACCAATTCAGCTCGAAAGTCAAATATACCATTAGATATCCTGAGCCAATAATTTCAAATCGTTATAGAATTTCGTCTGTTTTTTTTCGCAGCTATACTATCGCTATACTTAAGAAATGTGCTATGTCTCCACGAGAACGCCGCCACGGTAGTGTATCACATATTTATCATGATGTGTTACACCATGCCGCTGATGGGCGCCATTCTGGCAGACAATTTCATCGGAAGATACAGGTATCTAAGGCAGAAAATATAGTTAAGACTTTTTCTGTAGACAGTTGTACAAATCCTTCGTAGTTGCGGGCTCCTATTTCACATTCAGTTCTAATAAAATAATTACTGAACACCCGTTTTTATAGATAAGTTAAAGCTTAAGATCAATCTAATTTTAGTTCAAGAACCAATAAGGGGTTTCGAGAAGCAAAAAACAACTAAGTAATACTTATTGTTTGTTTATTGTTTGTAAGGCTTGCAGCTGCTTCTCCCTTCATTAAGTTTGTCTTAAGCGCATGCCTATGTTCGTTAACGATAGCTTTAGCTTAACCAGTAATTTCAGAATGTATTATATTACTAAATATCGTACCATTAACAACTCATAAATTCCTTTGGTTTGTGTCAATAAATAAATAAAATAAACAAGATATCATTAGCAAAACGTTTAGGTTATGTACTGGATGCTTGTGTAGTTAGTCACTAATATTTGTGACTTATACAGTATAGACTTACAAATTAAATGCATTTGTCAGAAAGAAGTACTGGCCGTCAAATTTTAATGTAACTTATACAAGTTTGGTTTACAGCTGTATATGTTTGTGTATTGGATAGAGTGAAGATTCAAAAGCCTTTCCCCCTTATTTATTACAAAAGTAGATTTATCTTTAGTCGAGGTTAAAACTATTGAGTTAGTTTTTGTATTTTGAATCTTAATCTCACGTTCAACCTTCAATTTGAAATATAGAAACCGGCTCTATAGTTTAGACCTAGACTACAAAAAAACATGTTTTGTAATAAGGTAATTTTGGTCTCTCCTGCGTTGGTAGATAGGCAGAATCCAACCAATAATTTCCCATTATAATGTAATCGATACGGTACAGAGCCAAGATCCTTTTTTTTACAGGGTGATATTATATTTTTCAATAGTCTACCTCATTGGGACGGTGCTGACTTGCTGTTCTGCGATACCACCGCTTATGTTACCCCCAACGTGAGTTTATTTATAATTTTGTTGGCGTATACTGCCTATAAATAAAGAGTAATATGAGAGAAATTAATTTGATTTTTTCGCTTTATACATACGTGGTGACTCAAGCACTTTTTTATAAAATGAAATTAATAACAAAATCCTTTGTACGCGCTCTTTGAATGGTTCTGTCGTTATATTTGCATATATTATGATAGTTATTTTGTATTTAAAGTAATCCTTAATGTATACATGTTATCACTGTTATGCGCATAATATATTTTTAATCATTATTAAATTCTCGATTGAGTAGGTTGCTTGTAGTTTGATCTTACTTAGTATCCTCCTTAACATAACTGCCTTTTTTAAATGTTGCCCCATATTTTAGGATTTTCCCATATACACACAGACGACATCAGAGACGAAAATAGGAAAAATAAATTTAAGATAAAACTAAAAAAACACCTACTCAGTACACTGCCTTAACTTTTTATTGTATTACTATCCTACTAACTACTACTACTACCTAACTACCGCCTACTTTCGAACGAATCTTTGATTTTCATACTTACGTACTTAATATTAACCTGCTAATACTACTTATATAACTTAACATATATAATACTAATATATACTAATATATTAATTTTATTATTATTGTAAACTTAACTTAATAGAACCTATAGTAAGTCAATAGTTTTGAAATCTGATCCAACAGACAAACTGTGTATACAGTTTTGCTGGACATTTTATACTTTAATATACCTACACGAATATAAATAATGTTCCAGTGGATCTTTGCTTGAACGGAAGTTCTTAGATTTTTTAAATTTGTAACAATGCTATTTTAATTGTTAAACTTGATAAATTTGTAAATGTGAGTGCCCTGTAACCTATTAAAATTAGTTAGACTAGCAGAATGTCGGTCCTTATGTCAGCTTGGAGTTGTCATGCTCACTCAAAGGTCACATTGGCGGTGGCACAGTCACTGGATCGCTCGATTCCCTATATTATGGTTGAGTTGGGCGATGCTGGTGTACGTGTCATGCTCGTGAACGGGCGCCGTCAATTGGGACTGGTCAGCTCCGGACTGTCTATTGTCCTTAAGGTTATTTTCTTTGATGTTTCTCTGTATACACGCGTTACACTGTTCTCACATATTCAAACTAACTAAATAATGTATCAAAGAATGTTTATGTGACACTGATTTTAAAAGAGTAACCATGGAGTTTCTTGCTCGTTCTTCTCCATCGGAATCTACACTTTGGAACGAGCGAATAGCTTCACTAAGAGGACTGACCGACAGACTGACACTTTGTATCTTTAAAGTTGTGTTGACGTTCAAAACTGCCCGTATGGGTCTAATTGAAATAAATGATTTTGACTTTGACTTTGACTTTGACTTTTTATAATGTAAAATGTACCTTTTAAGCAATAATAAATAAATAAATAATAATAATAAATAACACAAACACACATCACAACCAGACCCGAAACAGTTTACAGACTACATAGAATTGTTCCGTGCGGAAATCGAACTCGCAAAACGTTACACGGCAGCCGGTTGCCCAGCCACCGCGTTAAACGAGCAGTTAACTAAAATAAAATAAAAATAAACTATTAAAACTACAATCGATAGAGTCCACTTAAAATCGGAAACAAACTAACAATTAGAGAGGATATAGGTAAACTGATACAAAATTCTATACGGCTGGGCAATGGATTTGGAAGTCGAAACAGACAAAGTTGATTGTGTACTGCCAATTATTTTTCTAATTCCAGTATCAAACTACAGGTAGGTAGGTACTTAAATACGAGTGTCTAGGTATATATCAATTTAATTGCCATTAAATCTAATTAGTGCGAAGTTTGACGGTACTATCAGTGCAGTTTGCAGTGATTCGGCGTTTGGGAGAGCACTGCACCGCGGCGCCACTGATTTACACCCATCACAAATATTTGTTCAGCTCACGGGTTGGACGACGCCGACGCGACGGCCACGTTTGTGTTTAGCAAACGCAACCATGGTAGAAGGATATTCACTGTTTAATTTGATTTTCCCAAATATTTAAATGGCTCGTATCAACATAATTGTTGTGTGATAGGTCGCCAAACGGCTTGACGGATTATCTGATGGCAAGCAATTAGCGCCGCCCACCAACACCCGCAACAATGCAGGAGTTACGAGTGTTTTGCTGACCTTTTGGGTTTTGGGGATTAGGGATTTGGAGATTTTGCGATTTGGATTAGGTAGGTCTCCAGTCAATTTCTGAATGTTTAAGATACAGTTATTAGACAATAACCTATTCTCTCCCGTACCGTATAATTCCCGGTACAGTACAGTATACAAAAATAATACGATCCCGTATTATTTTTGTATACTGTATGAAAACAATTACTGTATGTAGCTGTCTACACCATGTATGAATACGTCTTGATGTATGTAAAATAAACAATTGACTGTTACTTTAAGTGAAGTAGAACTGCGCTTCCCGAACTAAGTTTGATGTAACTTCACGGAGCTGCTGGCGACGTAGCGGAACCTGAGATTATATTCTTTGCAACTTTTCACACTTGTTACATTTTTCATCATACTTCGACTTACCGCTAAAGAAACTGTAGCAAAGTGCTAGGTGTGTAGACTTACAGATCAGTTTTATACATCGGAACGCCTACCTTTCGTGCCTACCTTTTGTGTTGTTAAAGCATCGGACTTTCCTTTTAAAAAGAATAAAAAATCCATATTTTGTTAATGGTATTGTTCGGCAAATTAGCGACCGCTTTACCTGATGGTAAGCAATCAGCGCGGCCTATGGACACCCGCAATGCACCAAAGGAGTTAAGAGTGCGTTGCCGGCTTTTTAGGGATAAGGGTTTCGGATATTTAAGGATTAGGAAGGGATGGGGGAGGGTGTGATATTGGGCCTCCAGTATCGTCACTCACGCGGCGAAACACAACGCTGTGGTTGTTTCACGCCGGTTTTCTGTGAGGCCGTGGTATCACTCCAGTCGAGCTCACGCATTCGTGCCGAAGTTTGGCTCTCCCACACTTAATAATTAAAAATGAATAATATTGAACAATAAATTAATATTTAAAAAATATTCTATTTGTTTTCATTTGTTGGAATGACCTGGATGTTTTTGTCAATTTAAAGGTTTGTCATGGCATACACGGTTTTGCCATGGTTCTAGGTGAGTTTTCAGACCTTTTCCCTTATATTAGCAGCCGATTCTGTCATATCAGTGGTTGTGCGCTACGTCGCAACAGTCGCAATAGAGACGCGCTTCCGTGGGTTTAGCAACATACTTGTTGCTAACGAAGTCCCTGAACTATGTTCTAAATACTTACAAATATCTTTTCTTGAAAATGTGTTCATGATATTACTACATTCAAACTTGCGCTATGCCCGCGTTACCCAACTAATAAATAAATTCACACATTATATTTTCTAAAATAAAATAACGTGATTTTTTTCAGTTTCAGAAAACAGATTGCCCTATAAGATAGGTATATAGTTTGGTTTTGTTATTTACATATATATATATACACTCAACCTGGTCTAGACCAATTTTCGTATTTATCGTTAATTAAGTTGCGGTCTTATTCATATACCTAATGTATGTACAGTACAGCCGCCGTATCTTGGCGAATCTGAAGTTAGCCGCTTGTCTGCGCAATGGATCTTTTAGGAACAAAATTGTGTTCTGCGCAGCTAATCGGCTAACTACAGACTCGCCAAGATACGTTGACGGGATTGTATACCTATGTTCGCAGCTGTTTATTGTTTGGTTTCTACTTTTTTATTTTCATATTTTTGTTACAGAACGACATCAATGATTGGCTTGTTGCTCATTGCAACCGGTACGGGCGGCATTAAACCGTGCGTTGCTGCTTTTGGAGGCGACCAGGTACATATAAAATTTAGAATTATTCTAAGTAATTAATCCTTGATGCAGGGGTGCTTATAATACACTGTTAATTTTCACTTTTCTTCGTTCTTAACACTTTTCTTCGTTCTTATCTATCCAAAGACGTCAACTGCTCAACAAAGGCCTTCTCCCTTGCGGTTTACACTTTTACAGTGTCTAAAATGAAAGTTGTTATTAAGTTTCAGTATAAAATACCTTCTGGACTTTAAGTAACTTTTGCCCCTGAAAAGTGCTTTACCGTAAGAGACTTTTAATGATTACTTAGACAATTCCTAGTGTAATTATTTTCTTCCGAAAACAATTGCTGAGGAATAAATTAAGTAGCCATCAAATGCCTCCGAGTGCGATGCTTAGTGCAAGATATTTCTTACGAAAATATACGATCTTACAATTAGTCGACTTAAATTCTTGAGCTATGCAGCGCTGCAGCGCAAAGTGCGGAAAGTTGTAGATCTTACGGTCTTGCGCTTGATTGCTTTCCGGTCGTGTCGTGTTACATCTTGAAGTCTTGTAAAGTAAAAGATAAAACGCTTGTTAAATAATCTTTCCTTAGGTATAAGTTCTAAATCTCCCTGAGCAGAAGACATTTTTTTTTTGCTATAAGGTTCTCACAAAAACAGCATTCGTAGATCTAGAATTCAAAAACACTCAAATTGTTTATAACTTACGAGTTCGGTTTAATAGTTTGGTAGAACACTAGTTCTATCTCAAAGCAATCTGCTAGTAAAGGTCTAACTCATTTTGATTCTAATTATGATGCCAAATGTATATGCAATAGCCGAATAATGTACTTATAAATTCTCTGCTAATCGCTATCTATTAGGCTTTTTATCTGCTCGCTTATATAATAAAAATAATAGAGTAATCAGGTAATCTTTTAAATGACACAAAAAACAGAATTGTAATAAAATTCTACACTTTCTACAATATTCGTAGCAGTACATGTGCTACGAGAGCGTGCTACGAGATACTACTACGAGGAGTGCTACGTGAATTGTTACTAAGAAATTCGTTGCGGTCTTTAAACGTATAACTACAAGCATTTCTATGTATTCAATACATTGCTACTCAAGTATGTATCTTAAGTGTCGCTATTAAGGTTTAATGTTTACTGTAAAGACGGTGTAGTGAACTAATGGCTGAAAATCACCACTAATTGAGAGGAATGTTTTCCATTTTTAAATGAATTTTATTGTGTAAGTATTTGATAAAATAATATAGAAAATAAAAGAAAGTACATGAAACATTACTTGATCACCCCTTTTCTAATTGTGTAACAAAGAGCATACATTCTGAAAAACTATCATTCCATTTATCAAAATAAAAAAAAATTTTACTTTTGGTAGCCGCATTTACCGATCGACCGCAACATATTGGAATTAATCTTCGACTAAAACAGATATGAGATTGTTTTTGTTATTGGTTCAAATTAAATGTTTTAGTCTTAGATACTCCATTTATCGAGGAAGGCTAAAAAGTAGTAAACAGACAAACCAATAATATTCCGAGCACAAACAAAACGGAGAACGGAATATAGTTATGGAAATTAAACCAGTATCACTAATTCGTACTGTTTCACATCATTATCGTACTTACGGCACAGAAGTGTCGTGGTGGCCCAGAGGCTAAGGAGCCCGCTTCTCATGCATGAGGGTGTGGGTTCGATCCTGGCAAGTACCAATGTAACTTTTTCCGAGTTATATGTACTTTCTATGATTATTTAGGCACCACTGACATACGGTGAAGGTAAACATCGTGAGGAAACCTGGACTTATAATTTCTAATTATAAGTTAGAAATCGCCAACCCGCATTGAGCAAGCGTGATGATTAATGCTCTAATCTTCTCCGTATGAGAAGAGGCCTTTGCTCAGCAGTGGGCACTTTAGGCTGATGATGATGATGATGATGATGATGATGATGATGATGATGATGATGATGATGATGGCACAGAAATAAGAAAATAGATAATTTTTTCTTACTTACTGTATAGATGTTATTCTAGTTTATTTTAATTGGATCCTTGTCACTACGTAGTCCGCAAAAATAGCACGTATATGTGTGTGTTAAAGAGGCTTCGTTGCGAATACGTGACTTGGAAACGTAAGAACAAAGATTTAAGTGTTGTATTAAAGAAACATTTCTATGTAACTTGTTTTCTTTTACCAATCGCGACTTCTCCTATAAATAGATTTGTGAAAATAATAACTTGATTCCTGTTATTGCCACGTTATCGCTGTAGCGTTCATTGTGCTTTAGTTCGTTTTCTTGTCTCATGTAACAGAGTGATGATGTGTATACACATAAGTGGACATTGACCTCAGATATTTTATTGAGTAGTTGCATTTATGAGTGCTTGAATAGTTCAAAAAGCATTATTTTTACACACATATCTCCATTTTTTTGTTCCTCAATTTTTAAATAAAGGATTTTATTGTTTTCCCATGCATTTAAAATTTATACTTCTATACTAATATTATAAAGAGGTAAAATTTGTAAGGTTGTAAGTTTGTATGTCCCCACATACAAACTTACAACTATTCTTTGGTACTATTTTTTGGTATTCTTTGGACCACTGGTCGGATTGCCAGAAATCTTTCACTGATAGATAGCTACAATGTTGCTGAGTGCTATGAGGCTATACAACATCACACTACGATCAAATGGAGCCGAACAGTGGGTGAAATCGCGTAAGAGTAGCTAGTAATAGATCAAAATAAACACGCTTAGATAAGCTGCTATGCCTTGCTGATTTTACTATCTACTTGTTCTGACAGCTCTATTAAAATGTACTAGACAACTTCATTATTATACATATTATTGTCAAAAACACTGGCTTATTGTTATCGTTTGATAACATTGCACAGTTAATTCTTTACATAGAATTTAATTTGCGTACGTAACCGACTTTGTGCGTCTGACATACTTTAACTTTAACTGTAGATCCTGGTTTACAGTTGCAGCGGTTTGGGGAGGTTGTGGCGGGCGGGCCCGTCCCAAACAAAAAACATATAACTACTTTGAAAAATTCGACAATTTAATTTATTATTCTAACATTTAAAGCTTTGATCAAACGTTTGTATGGGAGAAGGCTGGAGTTTACCCTGTTGCAACTCTCATTCATAAGGCATGAGAGTAAAATTGTAGGAAATAGCTAGTTAGTTTTATAGTCACTAGAGTAGCAAGGAAATGTTCCGATACTCTCATTTTATTTGATAGTCAATGTTTATGATTGGTTCATTTTGCTATTGTTACGATAGTGAAATAACAGTTTGAATTGAATATAAAAGCAGCTCAGTTAAACAGCGTGTTTCTAGAGCTATATAAAATATATATACGAATATACATATATATTTATAAAAATGAACCCCATTCTCACTTGAATAAGGCAGCATGGCGTGTACGAACTTCGATAATTTTCTATAGGTATGCTGTGTTTAGGCTATTTTATATATTTAAAATTATTATAAAGAATAATTATTTTTAAATTTGTTTGGGAAATCGGGAAATAACAGTCCTTTCGATGCCGTGGCACAGCGTTAACAAAACAAATGAAGAACACCGAGGCAGTTAGATATCCGTGCAAAGTAGTCGCTAATTTCTTATTAAAAAAACGGGTGCGTTTACAAAGATTCAATTTCACATCCACAGACAGACGCAAAACATCAGATTGTGGATAACACGGATAATAATTGTTCCATGTAGGAACCTAGGTCGTGCCTTCCGATTCGCCAACCTTGTAGTGCATTTTAATTTGTAAATTTAGTACTAGCTACTCTCGAGCGCAAATGGTGACATTTGATATCTATCAGTGAAAGAATTTTGGCAATCCGACCAGCGGTTTCATAGATTACCCCCTACATACTCGTACAAACATACAAATTTTACCTTTTTATAATATCAGCATAGATGTTATTATAACTCTATTATACTAATACTATTACTATTATGAGTCAAGTTTTTATATTTGTTTGAAGTTTTATGGTGCATGCGATCTGCAGTAACAATAAGTAATCAGCTTAAAGTTTACAAAACCAGAGGTCAAGTATTTAAACAAGCCATGCCAAGCTTCACGTACACGTTGAAACATTTTGTTAAACACTGGCTTTATTTCAATGATTTCTTTCAGTTCCGACTACCAGAAGAAAACCAGTTACTCCAGAAATTCTTCTCCACTTTCTATTGTACTGTCAACTTGGGCGGGTTCATGGGAATGGTGGCGACGCCAGCATTGAGAAGGAGTGTCATGTGTTTCGGAGATGACGCGTGCTATGCATTAGGCTTCGGATTCCCAGCGTTACTTGTGCTTATTTCTATTGGTAGGTACTTGATCTGAATCTTTATTTTTTTATATACATGTTTAATCTAATTACGTGTAATATCAATTTTTTTGCGCACACTACTTCCATTATGTATTGTCATTTGTAATGAAATTAATTATTCCAGACTTCTAATTATAAAAAAACAAGATTAATGTTGATATCTCTTGATAAAATAGGTTAATTCTAAATGAATGCCGACCTATTTTTAAAATTTATTCTAGAAGAGACTAAAGACGTGTTGTAACCTTTTTTTAACCTGATTATTTTCATTGTGGCCAGTGATATTTGTGGCGGGAAAACCATCGTACAAGATAAAGCAGCCACGCGACAATGTGACGCTCAAGTTTATATCCTGCGCCTGGGTAAGCCATTGATGATACTCTAGCTATAAGCACTGCACCATTGTCACATGAGGATACCATCAGAGTGACAACGGGTTTAGTTGACGATGTTGATCGAACTAAGTTACTATATGTATAGTAAATGTATATTTGGGAAAACGGGATTTAGATTGAATGCTTGATTTTAGTGTAGTTTTACTGTGTATTTTATTTAGGGTTATATAACGTTTGCTCGTTTTTGTAGGTACATGATTATAGTTTTTACAATGAAGCTATTATTATGTTTTTTTAATTCGTCACCTGAGTCATAAAGCCGCATGCTCCATTTTACTGACCAATGAGGTCTTAGGGCCCTTGTTATCGATATTTATGTTAGTTATTGTCACAACAGCATTTTTCTCTCGACGAAATAAAAATATCTTTTCATAATATGTCCTATGAGTTTAAATACAAATCTACGTTGATAATATTTGAATGTATTTCCCATAGCTCTGACAAATCTAGTACAAAATTGACGTTCATTCATCGTCGTATACGATATCATAAATGTATTGGAATTCAGTATAGACGGAGTTCATTCAATGAAGCTGGAGGCTTTAACGTGTGCTCGGCGCGATGTTGCACAGATGCACTGTGTTACGAATATCTCATACGCTTTGAGAATGTACTGCCGTGGTATTAAGACTGAAAAACGAGCTACTGAACCAATGGTTTTTAAGAATAAAACTTTTTATACTTATCCAACGTTCCGGTACGGTAGAAAATGATCAATGCGTTAAGGTCGCTTTATGTAAAAAAAATGTGCATGAAGTTCTAAGTAAATTTCTAAGTAAGTTTTAAATTTTCTAACTTGAATATGATTTGGCTAACCAAGTTCATGATTGAATTCTTTTTTCAAAAAGTGTTTTGTACTCACCCTCAACTCCAAAGGACTTGCAAGTGCATTATTAACCTTTTGTTAGTTGTTATAGATTTGAGGATGGAAGACTGATTGGGGATGAAAGGGGAGGAGGGGGGAGAAGGATTTATATTGCTTATATAGTGAACACGAAAGTATGTATCTCTTGATGACTATCTATCTTATGACTCTTTAAAGGAAAAATTACTGAAATGATAGAGATAATAGTTTTGAATAAGACAGGTTATTTCACGCTAGCACTGAGGGCGTAGCTGCTGACAGAAGCTAGTATGATAATACAAAAGACTTAATGGCTGTACCTACGACTGTGGACAAGGTACAGCCAGCGAATTATTATATTATAGAATTTTACATAGGTAAGAAAAGTTCCTTTTAATCAAAAGTCTTTTGTTTTTTATTTTAGATGTGTTTTTTTTTAATTACCTGTAAAGAATATTTCGTTTTTTTTTTTAAATATGCGGCTTCTGGGTTTTTTATGAGGAACAAATTATAAAGAGGTATTATTTGTAAGTTTATGTGTAAAGTTTGATATATAGTTATTTCTGAGTACTATAAACTATAAATTATATTTGATTTGAATATTCTAGAGAGCCTCGCGTGAGTCGCATTAAATACTGCTGTTTTTAAAATCCCGGGATACATTACTTATCACGTGCGAAGTTGCGGGCGAAAGCTAGTTTACTCGTCCTTGCTTAAGTAAACTCTGCATTTTTGCTAATCAGTTAACAATCATGACGGGTCAGCGTTTGGGTAAAAAGTTTCTGAACTCACCCCTCGTCGATACACAAACACAACCAACTGTTTTGTTATCTATAAAAACAAAACAAAATGTTTTTCTCTTCCTAAATAGCGACCCTAAAAAAAGTTTATTGGTTTAAATGTACAGTTGTTGAACTCATGTATCCGTAAATAAATGTTTTGTTTGAAAAAATCCGGTTTGGATTTGTTTGACTGATACTGTCGACCAAATGTTTTCATAGAACGATTACACCGAAAGCTTTTCAATTAACTCCGGCTAGCCCGATGGCAGTTTTTACCATTTTACTTACTTTGAAACGATTAAATTAATAGAAGTGGGAGTTTACAAATTTGTAAATAGCGAAATTAAGTTGTTGGTTTTTTAAACGTTTAGTAAAGTGCATTATAGTCGATTTTTCGGTCTCAAATTTTTTGTGATGTGAATATTGATAAGTGAAAATCTATGTCTATTATTACATTACCGAAAGCTTGTTCGTTTTATGTGCTACCTATACGTGCTAATTCTCTGGAAGTACTGGTTTGAATTGAACCATTGACACAAGGTGAACTGGATTTCTAATTATAATAATTTTAAAATTGCCTATTCACCTTGAGCAAGCTTGTGATTAATGTTCAAATCTTCTCTTTATTGTTTATGCCCACGGAATAGAAAATACAGTTTCTGTTCTGTGTTTATGCCTTTGGTCAGTAGTGGGCACCACAGCGTTGTGCTTCGCAATGTAAGTGTGCGATCTCTGGAATGGAATCGTAATCCCCAGAAGGGCGACAACGAGAGAGAGGAATTAAGAGTTCTTAATTCCTCTGTTGTTACGCGTGTTCATTAGCGCCGGCGATTGCTTACCATCTATCACATAAAAATATGTGTTACTTTAGTGTAACAATAAATAGCATCTCATCTCACATCAGGTGTGTAAGACTCATTCATTATCTGATACATGATTCATCATCATCATCATTACTATCCTCGTGACGTTTTTCGATACTAGTAGGTCCTCCTAGGCGTAATAGGTCACCTAGATTTGCAAGTTAAAATAAATTGCGAATTCAAACTATTAGCTAAAACACAGAGAATTCATAAAATACGAAAAGAAATTACACTGTGACGCTTAATAATTAAAATATTTTCCTAAATTATAAAAGAAAAAAAAGTAATTATAGGGATTATTATTTTATCCTTGTTTCTTAATTTATGATTGTTTGGAAGCCACGACTTTGGGCACGAACCTCCTAGGTTGCTTGTCTTAAATACAATTATAACTTTTTCTTGGTAACTGAAGAACGTCGAAAGAACTTAAGAAAACATTAAACTGTATTTTAATTGTTTAGCAATTAAGTTACTTATGAAAAATTGAAAAAATAAGTTAGAAGATATACCTAACACTTCGTTGGATCAACAGTGTTGCCAATAAAGATTATTCAAGTTAGCTATATGGTATTGTTGTGTTACAAATTATTAGTCAAATTAAGGAAGTTTTTTTTTTAACGTAGGCTCTTACTAGAATTTTCACCCATGTCCTGAGAGCATTTAGAAGCATAAACATCATACATAGACCTAGATCATAGCATGGGTACTTATCTTAAACGTAATAATAAAATCACCTTGCTAGTAAACTCTCGCGCCCGGCCTTAGTCGAGGCCATGGTGCGGAGCGAGAGGAACTGGGACGCTGTCTCCTCCTTTTGTGAAGCAGTCATGCTCGCAAAGAGACAGGCGGCCCGCGTGAGGGAGCAATCCTCCTCCTCACGCCCCAGCAGTCGGAACTGGCGACACTACGGGCGTCGGGGATCAAGGGACGATCTCCGGCCACCGTAAGCATTGGCCTGCGGTCGGCGAGTAAGGACAGCTCGCCGCCCGACCAGGACCAGGCCTCAGCGTAAGGCGTGTAGCGTTCCGCGCGCCTCAAAGACCCAATAGACCACCACAGACGGGGCCCTTAAGGGCTGATGTTCAGCCAGGGTTGCGGGGTAAGCGCAATGAGGCACCGCGACCTCGGCACAGAGCAAGAGAAGGAACAGGGGGGTTTTTAGTCAGAAAGATTCTGACACTCCCTCCCGCCCGGCCCTGGGCGGGAGAAGTCATTCGATGATTTTCCCCTCACAAAAAAAAACCTTGCTAGTAAAGCGTAGTACGGTAGCACTACACAAAGGTAATAATTAGAGTATTCAATATAGAGAAGTGTCAGTGAATTTTGGCGATCATCGAAGAGGTCGGCAACGGCACCCGCTTCTCATACTTGAGGACGCGGGCTTAACACCTAGCAACTACCAATGTGCCTCTTTCTGAGTTATTTGTACTTTCTAAAATTTTTTCAATGATAAAACGTGGCGGAAAATGTCGTGGTGTAATCTGGATTTTTAATTTCTTATTACATGTTAGAAAATGTCAGTCCGCCAAGCTTTGAGCTTCTCGGTGTGAGAAGAGCTCTTTGTTCAGCACTGGGCACTTATAGGGTTTTTTTTTTGTGAGGGGAAAATCATCAAATTACTTCTCCCGCCCAGGGCCGGGCAGGAGGGAGTGTCAGACTCTTACTGACTAAAAACCCCCCTGTTCCTTCTCCTGCTCTGTGCCGAGGTCGCGGTACCTCATTGTGCTTACCCCGCAACCCCGGCTACTAATAGGGTGATCGTATTTCATATTATGATTGTTTATTAAATCCCTATGACTATTTTGTGTATTCTCACATGCCTTCTTGCAAAATATGGCTACCCATTTTGTAAAATAAAAAAGATTTTATCTAAAGCCAATATAAAAAGTCCTTTGTTCAAAACGAGGCTTGTTGGTTAGACTACAAAGGAAAGGACGTCGGTATGATGGTTATTTAAAGAAATCTTCCTTATAATTACCTTGTCGATGCACATATCGACCATCAACATCTCCTACAGCCGCCAGAGGGCAGCACGGGCCGGGCGAGAAGCGCGGGCGAGGGGTCCTACCGTGACTTGGTGAAAGTAATGTATTCACCCTAATTATTTATGATCAATAATCACTTGTAATCGGGCATCATCTGATTACAGGTTCTTCCTTGTTTATTGCTAATGTGAGCTAATATATTAGTACAGTGGCGATTATCGAAATAATCCTCGATCAGTTTGTTACTCCAGGTATACCTAATTGAATATTCATAATTTCATAATTTATTTTTGCAACTTTTTTGAACGTTATGTTCGCAACTGATTATAATAGAAAGACTCATCTATTCCAATTCCTAAAATAAATGATACCCTATATGTACTTATATAGTTATATTGCCTAGGTTAAATAAGCATTTAATTCAAATCTGTCCATTAGTTCCAGAGATTAGCGTGTGGAAGGAAATAAACAGAAATATTTTAATTTTTGACAGCATTTATCAGCCTATTTTTTATTTTATTGAAGAATGTTTAAAGTGATAAAATTTTTATTTGTTTGGGACTCGATTTAAGGTCCTCAGTCCTTGAAGTAGACCAGTGTCATCCTTAAAGCAAACTACGCAAATGTTGAGTAGCGACTGTGCCCAATGCAGGCGATTGATTTACAGAGAGCGGGGGCAGAAGCAAATCTCACATATAATAAGTTAGGGTTGCTTATAAGGTGCTTTCCGAGGGCGTTTACAGGGTTAAAAATGAAATGAAAATGACCTAAAATGAAGTATCTGAAAAAAGTAGCATTCAAGACAAGAAGTTTCGTAAAATTGAATAATATTTTCTTTAATGAAATAACGTCAAACGCATACCTTTTGCTCGAAAATTAGCTACAAAAATACGTCGTACAGATACAAGTTAACAGCGTAATGTTTATTTTTTTGTAGTTCAAGACATTTTAAAAACATTATAGACAACCACTTCCTTAAGTGCTTGTTACGTAACAAAAGAGGAAAAGATTATTCATAACATAAGTTTTCTTTATAGTATTGTTTAGTTTTAGAAATATAAACACAAGTCTATTAAGTGTTCTATATTATCTGAACTAGATATAGGCTGACTATTTCGTTTTCAATTATATTCCTTGGTCACCACACTAGCCATAAAGATAAAAGTAAAGGTACCTACCTCATCTGTCTAATTTAATGTTAAGTAACAAAGTTCTTGATACTTGTATAACTATTTTAAGTGAGAGCCAAGCTTCGACACGAATGGTTCGGCTCGACCGGATTACGGCCATCAGATACCACGGCCTCACAGAAAACCGGCGTGAAACAGCCACAGCGTCGTATTTCGCCGTGTGAAAGTGAGGTTACCGGAAGCCCAATTCTTCCCCTCCGTCAGAAACGCACTCGGGGCGTTGATTGCTTACCATCAGGAAATCCGTCTGCTCGTTTATCGACTTATCACATAAAAAAAACCTATGAAAAGTATTATACAAAAATGAAATACAGCTGTAAAGGTATCGTTAAAATAAATATAAAAGTCGCGTTGTGTGAAAATAAATGACGTATCAATATTGATACTGATAAGTATCAAAAGAATATACTGTATAAAATATAATTACTCTTTTACTATATTCCAACAAGAATATAAAATCGAAAGGCCAATCGAAGAGAGAATATCGACATTTTAAACTTTAAACGGAATGCATTAAGGTTACATTTGCGTTACCTCCGCAATGTAAATTTAAATAGTTGGTACTAATACCCTCGTATAGTGAAAGCCCAGAAATATTAGTGAGGAACATCAATCATTGATATTCTCTTTTTTATAGTCTATTGCAAAAACCGGTGAAAAGGATGTGCACGGCAGTGTGATGATTGATAGGTATTCTTACTCGAGGCTATTGCTTGTGATGAATGAGCCAAATATGGCTCTTTAGAATTACGAGAAACATTTCAGTGTCATCAATTACCTGTTAAAAATAGTGCAGTAGCGAATCTACTAAATACACTATACTAATAAAAGTAATAATACAACTGCTGATCTGCTGACCCTTATAACGAAAAAAATCACATTCGGAAAAAAATCTTTACAGCGAGGAAATAAATTTTATTTATAGTAAAACTAAGAACACGCATCTCATCATATATCTTCCTCAGCAGGAGAAATGCACCAATTAGGCAGTCTAAGGTTCCATCATCCACTTTTAGTTCATCAGACCAGATCGATTGTAACATAATATTGTATCGCATGAGGGTGTGACTTTTTCCGAGTTATATGTACTTTCTATGATTATTTTGACACTACTGACATACAGTGAAGGTAAACATCGTGAGGAAACCTGGACTTATAATTTCTAATTATAGGTCTGAAATCGCCAACCCGCATTAAGCAAGCGTGGCGATTAATGCGGAAACCCCCTCCGTGTGAAAAGAGGCCTTTGCTCAGCAGTGGGCACTTATAGGCTGATGATTGCCTATTTTCACGTTGATACAAGAATAAGAAGTGAATGAATTCCGATTCTTTGCTTGGGTTATGTAGTTAAAAGTAAACCGAAGAAAAGCTTATTAAAAAGCTAATCATACCTGATCCCATGGCCTATTTAGGAGTGAAATCCATTCATTATAACTTTGTTTTTGTTTCACTTCGTTGTAGGCCACCAAAGCTGAAACTTACTCTGCATCAGTCACCACAGAATTTTCCAAAAGTTTAACGTTACTTTCAGTTTGTTTGTTAAAGTTGATTCATCAAAATTTTCGCCTCGTTTTATCTAGTTTTGTGCGTATTTGCATGCCTATTGAGAACAACATTTTGTTGCAGGATGGGACACATTTGCACATTCGGGTAGTGTCTGCTTTAAAATATATACTTATTTATTTATAGGTACATATATTTATAGAAATAAATATATATGTAAAAGAAGCGATTGCACCCACTTGCCATCCAATCTCTCAGTTCTTATTAACTTTTATTTTCACTGAAACGTTATGCTATTATTTTCAATGTTTCCCAAATAAATCGAGATGACCATTATTGAGCAGTCAGCCATTTCACTCAACATAAACCCCTTAAGCATTCCGTACTGAGGCAGTAAAAAACGAAATACCCTACAGTTCTTTATTATATTGAATTTTATAATAAATATTTCATTGAATATTTTTAAGAATATTGTCCAACAATTCAGATTCCTAAGAAAATATTTCTTTATAAATGTCTCAATAAATTTTTGCTCGGGTTTGTTTTATTAGCAACTTCGTAATAGACATTTTCTTATTTTTTTAGGTAACTTATTATTTAGTTATTTTATTAGTAAAAACTAGTAACTAGGTTAGTGTTTCATAATAGTAATTAGCAAATTGCTAATCGCCTAGATTTCTTTTCAAAACCAGAAAAATCATTCTATTTTGCAAATAATTCATTTTACTTACGTTAACTGTTACAAAGTGAATATTATTTTGCGTCAAATAAAAGAGAAATACCATCGTTAATTAACATCGACATATTGTTAATTTTATTATTTTATGTTATTGTCTCGCGATTCTCGGAGCTGTAAACATAAAAAAAAATCTATTTCCGTCTACATCGTAGTTATTTCTGAAATATCCTTAATTAAAAGCACGACTGCCGATATTTCTTTTTCTTCGTATCGTTCAGCTATGTTTATTCTTTAATTAAAGGATATTTTTCTTAAGTTTTTATTTCTGTCTTTGCGAAAGAATAATCTTTCGAGTTGTTAGAAGGTAACAGTTTATTTAAAGCCCGCTTGATGTTATTTTTGCATTTACTTTGTTCGAATACCTAGTTCCTTCGTCGAGTTTGAGCAAATTAAACTGAAGTAATGTATTCCAGTATGAAACAGACAGAGATATTGTGACTATCTCTGTCTGTTAGGAAAGTATATAGGTGATAGCTAGGTTGGTCTTTTAGGGGAAAGTGGGTACAAAGGTGATCTTAATCTATTAATAGATATTGTGTTAAAGTTTGACAACGCTTATAAATGCGAAGTTGCTGAAGGTTATTAACAACTGTTGAAGGGGATTTATTATGTCTCATTGACTAGTTTCTTCACATAATTTGAGCTTTAATTGTTATTTCCAGTACGCGTTCTGCAAGCGCTTGAAGTACAGCAGCAAATCGGATGAGATCCCTAGAGAACATTGGTTGGATTACGCAGTCGAGAAATATGGTGAAAAGCTGGTTGCTGATATGAAAGTGGTGTTTTCCATATTATACCTGTACCTGCCCGTGCCCATATTTTGGTCACTCTTCGATCAGCAGGTTTGCTTTTGTTTTTTGTAAATCTTTAATAAGTTGTGGTGGCCCGGATTTTAAGGCTCCCGCTTCTCACGCATGCATAACCTGGCACTAATGTGACTTAGACATCACTTACAAACGGTAAAAGAAAACATCGTAAGGTAAACTGGACCTGATATACAAAATTATCAGTTTGGAATCACCAATCCGCGTGAGAAGAGACCTTTCGCTTAACAGTGGACTCTTATAGGCTGAGATGGCGATGTGATGTTATAGATACATATACATTGATATACTATTGATACTAGGTTCAGCTTCTGCCGCCGCTAAGTTGTTTTTGTTTAAACGTAATTAAATAATACAAAGAAATCACAATATTTTTGAACGCCGTACAAAACGAACACCCACATCAATGCGTACTTACACATCCGAAGAATTTTCTTTAGGAAGTTAGAAGACATATTTACGAGTCAACAAATTTATTATTATTTTGACATTTGTGAATAAATTTGTAACAATCTGTTGAGTTGATCACTAAATTTAAATGCCGATACCTGTCCAAGTTAAAAGGTTAAGTCATCAAGGTCTATTCAAGTCTCATCTTGACCTTTTGTGGTCTTATTCAAGATGTGCTATTTTTGTATCGAGGTGAAGGCTGGAGGTTGGATTTCTGGCACCAAGACTACTTGAGACCTCTTGTCGATACGTTCACCTGAAGGAAAAATTTGATTATTTACACAACTTGACACCACAATCGAGTGGGAAAAATGTTTGTTGGATTCGTCTCAAAAGTTTGAGGTTCAGGTGTAGGGATATGTATATACCTATACTTTAATTTAAAAATTATAGTATACTTTCTGGAAAAAGTGTATTTGTACGAGTATACATTTTCCCAAACATTTGATCTCTGGCCCATGGAAGAAATAGGAACCTAAAACAGGACTATCTTTTTGTAAGATTATAAATGAATAAATGACACGGCGATGATGCCAAGCCCAAAATAATAAATCAAAATGAAGTTTCGACACTCAGGGCCCAATTCGGGTAAAGATTAATATTGATTCTTTCAGTTTCTTGACAATATCTTATTAGAGATAGTTAACATAACATATTATTTTCAACTAGAAAAACATTTCTGATCTAGTCTAGTTTCATTGTAAATGTTCATTGTCAGATTGTCGTGGTGACCCGGAGATTAAGGAGCCCGCTTCTCATGCATGAGGGTGTGGGTTCGAAACCTGGCAAGTACCAATGTGACTTTTTCCGAGTTATATGTACTTTCTATGATTATTTAGACACCACTGACATACGGTGAAGGTAAACATCGTGAGGAAACCTGGACTTATCATTTCTAATTATAAGTTTAAAATCGCCAACCCGCATTGAGCAAGCGTGGTGATTTAATGCTCCAACCTTCTCCGTGTGAGAAGAGGCCTTTGCTCAGCAGTGGGCACCTATAGGCTGATGATGATGATGATATGATGTTCATCTGCCATCGTCGTCAGCATATAAGTGCCCACCGCTGATCAAAGGCTCATCTCAAGCGTAGAAGAGTTGAGCATATTTGAAATTTATAATTTGTTATCATAAGTCCAGGTTTCCTCGTGTTGTTTTTCATTCATGATCGCTGGTGTTTAACTATCAAAGTTATTTTAGTATTTGCTTGCTTTTAAACCAGGATGCAGGCAATGCGAGGGCATTTTTTGTAATAGAAATTTGGCCAACATTTGAATTTTCCCCCGTATGGCGGGTGCATTTATAAATATACAATGTCAGACACAGTAAACCCAGATCCGAAACAATAATTTGCTGATCACACAAAGAGTTATTACGTGCGGTAATCGATACTCGCAACACGGCAGTCATTTGTACAGCCACTGAGTCAACTGTTCAGTAGGTCTACTACCGGACCACAACTCTTAAAATTTTAATCTCTGCCTATTTAATCTAATTGTCTTGAGGGATTTAAAGGCCACGGTTTAAACATGTTATTCTTTCGGCGTTGTCACTTACTCTTCGATTTTTGTCTTCTGTTTATTCAAAACTCTACTAGCTTTGTTTGGCACAGATTACTAAAATGTAGTGCACAAAGTTAAGATGGATGTGAAAAGTTGCAACACTGCCACCATTTCCAATGCTTCGATATTCTTTGGTTTCACATTCTAATACCTAGTTGTGGAGTATGTTTTTTTAGTAAATGCAAAAACATCATATTAAAAAGTGTTTTTCTCTCTCTGGTTGGGGCGAGACAAGTCACTCGAGCAGCAGAAGAAATGGAGGGTTTTTAATCAGTAAGAGTCTGACACTCTCTCTCGCCTTACCCTGGGCTAGCGAAGTTATTTCATGATTTTTCCTCCTCAACAAAGCACTTGGTTGCCCTTTCACTTTCATCTAACCATGGATAGTATTTCAATGTGCTCTGACTTTGGAGCCAACATCATAAAAAAATATTGTTTCGTCTATTTATTAATTATTATGCATATTATCTTTCAACATTTTGAAATGACTAGTATAGTATATGTTTCAGAATTTATTTACTCATTTTAATGAATTTAGATTATTAAAAATAATCTCAATTGGTAATATTTTACTCGCAAACTTCGAAGAATCATTTAAATAGAACTATTTATTTAATACCCTTTGTTACGCCCTTTTTCGCTACCACGAAAAGGTTACAGAAAGTAAGTATACACTTTCTTGCAGGGTTCCCGTTGGACATTCCAAGCTTCGAGGCTACGTAGCGAGGTCTTCGGTGTCACCCTAATGCCAGACCAGCTGCAAGTGATGAACCCTGCGATGGTTCTTCTAATGATTCCGGTCTGTCCTGGAGGAGCCTGGCCTTTACTGCCAGATATGCCACCACTTCAGAAAATGTTCATCGGTGGCATGCTAGCTGCAATGGCATTTGTTTCTGCTGGAATCCTACAAATTGGCATAGAGGTACGAGTTGTAGTTTTCCGCAACAATATTCATTTCCACGTGGAATATCTATTTGACAATAGAACAACGCTAATGTATATGCTCTGAATCTGTCTAAAAGTCGCATGTAATGCTCATTGTCTTATTCAAAGTAACTGGCACGTGTTTTTTTTTTTTTTTTTGTGAGGGGAAAATCATCAAATGACTTCTCCCGCCCAGGGCCGGGCAGGAGGGAGTGTCAGACTCTTACTGACTAAAAACCCCCCTGTTCCTTCTCCTGCTCTGTGCCGAGGTCGCGGTACCTCATTGCGCTTACCCCGCAACCCCGGCTGAACATCAGCCCTTTAGGGCCCCGTCTGTGGTGGTCTATTGGCTCTTTGAGGCGCGCGCGGAACGCTACGCGCCGTACGCTCGGGACGTGTGCGACTGAGTTTTGAACGTATGGAACAAAGTGAAATACTTGTAACTTAATGCATTCGGTTTTTAACTCGGTTCTGTATTTAGTTTGCTAGTTTTAAACGCACAAAGCGTTATTATGCTAAAATGTTGAAGTTGGGAAAAGTACGCTAAAATGGTACCTTTTCTTGCTCGTTTAAGGTTTGTATTTGTTGACAGCGATCTACATTGCAAGTTCCCGGTCATCGTCAGACAGGTTTGGTGATAATGAACACACTGGGCTGTCCGGTAGACCTGGCGATTCGGGGTGAAGGTATAGCATCGGTGGAACAGCATGGCACGGCACTCATGGCTCCCCTGCCTCACAAAAGTCTGACTGTTACGGCTACCAGCCCCGTGAACTGCGCTGGAAGAGTCATGAAGAAACATGTAGCGATGGAAGAATTGAAAACGGTTGCTGGAATGGTTTGTGTTTTAAATCTTTTTTGGTCGGCAAAGTAAATCGATTTTTTTACTCTTTTGTTAGAGACGGTAAAAACTTCTCTAAGTTTGTGTAAGCAACGGTACGTACACATATTATCCTAACCTACATTATTAGTAGAAAGTATCGTTCCTACTAATAACGTAGGTGAAACAATTTGTGTGTATATGCATTTATGGATGTTGCTCTTTCAGGTAAAAACTGCCAAACGGATTTATTTAAACTACTTATGTATATTAATGCGGTGTGTACAAATAGTACCTCATAATGTTTTTATGAATATTACAAAGAACATAGGCTACTATTAATCTACACAATATTATAATTTAAAGGAATGTACCTACAGGCAAAAATTTCAAAATTGTTCTTCCAATATTTTAACTTTACTAAGACAGCTTTCGAGATCGTATCCCAGGCGAATTACATACATTTATGATCATGTGGTTTATCGATTTCGAAATTCTCACTAAGTAATTGCACGGAGTCTGCCAATAAACTCACCGCACCTGTATGAAACGAATAACAAAAGTAAAAGAGGGAAAAGAAACAAGGAGGTGCTGCGTAAATCATACATTTTAGCCTATAAAGTCATCGCTTTTAATACATGTGTCGATACTCTAATTAGCGTGTTCATTGGCCTAGAACAGATTCCTGACATTATAAAATATGTATAAGTTTTATTCCACCCCGTTGCTCGGACCTGTCAATGTTCACGCGATGCAGCCAGACCACAAATATATTTCATAACTTCACTTATTTCTTCTCTCGTTTCCTAATAATGTAATAATGGATGTACGATTTGTCCCTACTTTGTGTTCTATTAGTGGTTTCGAACGCTTGCTTACTTAAACGTAGTAATTGTACAGTTCATTCTATAACTTTTTTGTTCTGTTAGCTATTTACGATTATTGAGAGTATCGATGTGTTTAATATTCTTTGTAAAGTCAAATATCTAACCATGCATAATTGTACATTATACATTTTGTATAGTTCCCTATATACAGTACAAAAATATTTAAAGTTCAAAATCATGTGTCAAATCAAAATGAAGCTGATATTTGTAAAGATAACGTTACTTATCGTACATTAAAATTTGATATATAAGCTCCCGTGTTAATATTAGGTAAGCTTATATAATAATATGCACTACAAATAGCTGCCTTTTTAGCCGACTTCTTTAACTTAATTTAGTCGTTATAAGTACACACAAGAAACTGTTGTAATGAATTCAGAAGAAAAATATAGACTTTTGTAAGACGAGGCATGAGAATTCATAATGAATTAACAATGTTCTTGTTACAAAAGATTCTTTGAATAACTCTCTTCGTGGATACGTAAACACCAGTCTTCCAGCAAAGACTGATAAAAGGCATTTTCACCGACTAGGTGTTTTAGTTCGTGCTCATAATTAGCCTGAGTAGGCAATGATAGTTATCGCTCATTCTCTACAATTTCGAAAGCCAAACCGAACTTACATTTTTAGTCAAAATTTTGCAGAACGCTAATTAGAGGAGAGATAACATTTACCTCTCATTAAGCTTATATTTATTTTATGGCTTAATCAAAGGTAAATTTTCTCATCGATGGTCAAAATAAATTTCAATTTATTCGCGGAAGGGTATACAGAAGATGAAACGCTTCCCAGTTAGGCGTCGATGTAAGGGTTCTGGTGAAACGGCAGTGCCAAGCCTCGTCCAGTGCTGTTATGAAACAAAAAATGAAATGCCAAAATGGTCGCCCAGATTTTCGTTTCGGCTGAATTTTTACCAAACTCATCGTGTACAGGAAATAAACAAAAATGTAGCTGTGAAATCTGATTCGAACACGTTGATACACGCGTCGCTACATGTTTTGCGACATACATATTTTTCTTCGTAGCTAAGTGAATAAATTCACACGTACACACAAAGTTTTTAAGGTTTTCGGGGTCCTTTCTCATTATGTGTGTTTCTCCCACATGCGGATTTTGGTCTCGTACATACAGTCCAAATCCTATAATTTCATAGAAGTTTTTCTACCATGCAATGGCAGGAGCTTGCTATCACACGGGGATTATGTCGACATGCGGGTGAAAATCCGCAAAGCGAGGGTTTTCATTTATTTTAATTAAATTTAATTTTAGAGTCCTATGACAGATTTGCAGCATATGAAGCAGTTTTTCGTAGTGGACCGTAGGTAAAGCACCCGCTTGTCATTGAGTTCGGAAACTGGATATAATTTATATTAAGCATTTTCAAAATTTATTGAGACGCCAGTGAAATGTTGTTTTCATTTGGCAAACAGGTAGACCTGATGGTAAGAAATGGGGATTGAAAAAGAGATGGAACCTACCAATAAGCAAAAAAAAATTGAGGAAACCTTGACATATAATTTCTTATTAGAAGTTTGTAATCGCCGATCGGCCTTGAGCAACCGTGGTGATACATGCCCAAACCTTCTCTGTGTGAAAAAAAGCGTTTGTTCTGCAGTGGGCATTAACTTATAGACTGATGTTGTGATAATGTAAACAGATTGGGAAATGGGTATTATTTGAATACTTTGCTGAGTAGGGTCATATGTAAATATTATGTATATTTAGTTCATTTAAATTGGCAGCAAATACTAGGTTCATTTAATGTAAGGAATGACACAACATCAAATTAATATAAGTATTTGGAGCAAAGGTGGGCGCGTCTTTAGCCATACTGTGGTTTGGCATTTAAAAACAGCTTATCACTTATGAGCACTGCTGTTGACAAGCCTTTGGACCGTCGATGACATTTTACGTTGTAATCAGTGCGTAGTTACATGTTCTCGTGGGCTGGGCACTGGCAAACGCTCCAACAAAATAATAGCCCCTTTCATGTGGTCATTCAACGTCATGTGCCTGTTGACCTTTGTGTTTTTTAATGTTATTATATTATGATATTTTATCTTAATAGAAGCATTGATCAGCATGTGACCTTTAAGAATTAAATTTATCACTTTTGAAATAAAAAAAGACACAAACTCGAACTTTTGCTGACTTACGGTGACCTGCTTTATTTTATTTCTTGTAATTGTTGTTTTATCACCTGTATCGTGATTGCGTTACCAAACATGAAGTTTCCCATATGGTACATATATTATGTATTCTCAAACGTTCTTCGAAATGTAATCGATTTATCACTGATGAAATCGATTTAAATCTATTCGATTAATTTGCCTAAGTAAACAATATAAGTGTTTCTTCAATCTCATTTTGTGCAGTGAAGCTTAAACTGGTTAGAATATAGTCGTGGGTATTCTGTATGAGATTGTAATTGGCCGTCATTACTAATTGCACCGCACATCGCTTGAGATACGATCCCAGTTGTTACTCTCTGTATTTTGCAACTTAATATACATTATCATCATCAGTCCATAAGTGCCCGATGCTGAACAAAGGCCTCTGCTCACGTAGAGGAGGTTTGAGCATTTCAATAAGCTTACTCAAGGCGAATTGGCAATATCTAACTTATAATTAAAAATTATAAGACTAGGTTTCCTGTCGATGTTTTTCTCCACCTTATGTAAAAAATAATCATAGAAGCTACATATAACTCGGGAAAAGTCACATTAGTACTTGTCAAGTTTCGAACCTGGGCTCTCATGTATGAGAAGCAGGCGCCCTAACCTCCATGCCGATAGTTTAAATGATATATATAAAGAAATGTCAAAAATTTTAATTCAGTCCGTAAAAGAGACGATATTTTTAAGTTTTGTAATTATTTTAATGATATACACGTCTGTCACTGTTACATTTGATATAGCTCTGAAATAGTTCCAATTTTAATGACATTTGTATAGTTCCGTATTGTTTTAAACGTAAAATTTTTATTCTATCGAATATTGTGACTTGCAAATAATATGGTTTACAACAAAAATCGGATTTACTTTAGCCGCTTTGATTCATTAATTAAAGAGATTTAATTAATACCAACATTGGAAATATTTATGGTTCTTGTTAATTTTCAGTTTATGCCAGTCGTAATTGGGCAGAATTCTGACGATCAAATCGGTTTGTACTTTATGGATCCGAATCCTTTTGTGAAGTCACTGACTGGGAAACCGAAGTTGAAGTAAGTATAATATGAATATATTTTTCTTGTGGAAAGGGGCGACAATCTAACCTACAAATTACCTGATGCAAATGGATGAAACACCGACAAATTCAAAACTTTACTACTGCATTAAGTTAAAAGGAAATGGATAATATATTTTCGTCTTAATTCCTATATTTTTAATGAGATAGGTCCGCAAAAGCAGACTGGTGGTAAGCAATCGGTCCCACCTATGGATGCTAGCAATGACAGAGGAGGCACAAGTGCGTTGCCGACCTTTTGGGGTTTAGGAATTTGAGGTTTTGGGATGGAACCTTACCTAACAACAAAATGCGAACGCTCTGGTTACATCTTGGTTTTCTGTGAGGCCATGGTCATGGTCGAGTCAGCCCGGTTAAGTTAAGCTCTCTTACACTACCACAATAAAATAGTTTGTGTCTGTATCGTTTGTGTTCTCGAGCGCAACTTAATTGGTGATTGATAATACAATTGTAATACAGGTATGGGCCAAACTCGTATTGTATTTCGATTAGTAACAGATGCTCTTATAAATAGGAATATTGTGTTTCCTCATAGCTTGCTTTTATATAAAAGGGTAGTTAAGAGATAGGTGGGTAGGTTTGGTGTGTATTCGCTTTTCATCAGTGTAGACGAAGTTTTAGGAAATGAAGACCTGAATATTGAGTTGGATAGCAAGCTATCAGAAAGGTGTCTGTATGTCTTCCTATTGGATGCACTGCTGTTGATTACTAAGCGACACGAGCCTATTACGAGAATTTGGGTGAGCACCTAGAACCTCTCTTTGCTCCGGAGTAATTTGTAATCGAAGTCCCAATCAGTGACTAAACAACGTTACCATTCGTGCTTATGAAACAATTGTAGAAGTGTGCTTTTTAAATTCGATCACGTACTTATTATCGAAGCTGCTAGGATGACCGAGCTCTGCTCTCATTTTACGTCTCTGTAACTTTTTACAACACAATTTTATCGAAATCGTTGGAGCTGCTTCTGAGATGATATCCTATTAAAAATATAAATGTTTAGTAGTTTAGTTAGTCCGTAGTTTTTGAGAATGAAAGTTCTTGGATTGCGCCGATTTGGTTGAATTTTGGATTAACATATGTATAGGCTATCAACATACCACGCGGGCGGACGCTAGTAAAGGCATAATTATGTATGTAATATATCACTGTATCGGGTCTATTTATTCAATTGACGAAGTGCAGGTTTTATCTACATTTTGCGTGAAGGTATTCATATTTTCAACACATATAATATATTTCAGCTCCATTTTATTTTCAAGAGTAAAAATGTAGGTAAGTTCGTAGGAATGTCGAATGTTGAAATACTAAGTTTTGATGTGCGAAAAGTGCACAGAACGTAGTCTTATTCTAGAAGTGTAAAAGCCCGCCAGTCAGTGTCAAATTTTTCTGCGCCATTTTGTATCTATATGTACCTATATTTGATGTTTCTCTACAAATTTTCGAGTATATATTTCTAAGCTGTAGGTATACAACTGCCGTTATATATAAAGTTTAAAGTTCGACATTTATGGGATTACCGCACTTACTCACTTAATAATTGATTTGATTTTTGGTTTTCCGATCCCCGTCTCTGTTTTTCCTGGCCTTTTCGAAAAGTTTCTTTTTGCCTACATGCAAACCTTTTACTGACAATAATAAACACAATAAAAAGAACTTTCTAATTCATGAGTTTAAATCATTATTCTTTTGCCTTATATGGAGTTTAAATCATTTCTTTTAAAACCAATTTGATTAAAATTCAGGACATCTAAATTACAACCGTATTTTTGTTCAAACTTGTAGCCGTTAAAGAAATAGCTCGTTAATGATTTCGTAAAATGGTATAAGTAATAAATAATAATTTAATTTAATTAGATTATAATTTCGTATGTTTGCATAAACCTTGTTTTAAAAAAAAATACAAAGAAATCTGGTAACCAATATTGTCGATTGGTTTCCGATTTTTTGTTGAACGAAAATTAACTGTTACATACATTTGCATATATAATACAATATTATGCTTGATTGTATATTATATCTTTATACTTCTAACCTCCTTAATGAACTCACTTTATTCCTTTTATCATTATGATGGTGAGTCACAAAAAGAGGTCTAAATATGGCAGTAGGTACCCACGAATGGATTGGATGAAATATGACTTGCCTTGGACATTTATCAATCAGTCATTTACCATTTACTTCCCGTAAATGTTGAAATGACAGCTGATAGATGTATCTGTAAAGAAAGAAAAAAAGTGGGTCAATGGAAATAAAATGAAGAAAATGCCAAGACGTTTTTGTAACCGTTTCATATACTGCGTTTTTTATTAAATGAATTACTCAACAGGGAGCTAATTTTAGTGAAATTTGGTAATAAGGCTAATAGACTAGATGGCAAAGCTTGGAAAGTATTTTTAAACACCAACATAAAATATGGCAGATGTACTTTTAGTGCAGCCACTTTTCTTATAACTGATTATTATGATGTCAAAGAATTTGGAAAATAACAACGACCTAGTTGTTTGATCTATGTTTCTATTGTGAATTGTTAGATTTATGCAGTTAACATATCACAAAAAAGTATATAAATATTATTTCAACAGTGAAGTTTCTTTGTAAGTTTGGCTTTTCATTCAGGGATACAGGAGAGTTCTATGAATCTAGTTGCAGTATCGGAGCCCTTCACTGAGTACCAGTCGGAATTTCGATGCTTGTACTGTCTTAAGCTCTTAACTCGATTTCATAGAAGCTTTCTAGTACAAGGATTAAAAGGAAGGGAAGGTCCGAAGACATTCCTTAGTGTCTTGGATTCTTGTTGCTCGAGTGATGGAGTCGATGTGTCCATGTGTGATGGAGGCACAGTTTGCGAACCCTTCGCTATCTAGTTGCTTGCATTCGTTGCCAGCAGATCTAACGTGGAGGAGGGGAAATTATCATATGACTTCACTCGCCTGGAGGCCGCGGTACCTTATTGTGCTGGACTCGACACCCGGGCTACATCTCTAGATGTTTGTCCTGTGTCACGTCATACGACATTATTCTACAACAAAAACGATTAAACCCAATATCATAACAGAATTCAGAATGCTAATTAGCGTTAATATTGCTATTGTTATAATAGATTGAAATGTACCGAATTATTACTTAGTTAAACGTACTTGAAATGCAATACTCGCCTTAACAAACAATTACCTGGAATAGCGCAGCAGCTTAGCTCATGTTAATTACTGTTCGATTGCTCCCAAATTATAGGTAATTTCCTAATATCGTAATGTTCTTAGTGGGATATTGAAAGACTGATTATTTATTTAATAAGCTTTATGCATACATGTTCGTAGTTGCCTATTGCAAATAGTATGACCTCTGGGTGATGCAGAAATGAGTATAAAACAGTGAAAACAAGCAGCAAACAATTAATTAGACTAAATTTAAACACGAAAATACTTAATATGTAATGTGTAAATTATTTAAATAAATAGGTACAACAACAAAATATACCCACAGAAACGTATAATACAATACATACAAACACTAATATAAATAAATAGATTGTTTATTTGATATTTTATTAGATTAGTTGAACTTGTTTAAAAGGTTATTAAAGGACAACGATTTGCAAGTCTTGGAAGGTCTGGAGTGACTGGCAAGTCCCCAACAGGCCGGCAACGCACTAGTATTGTTGTGAGTGAGAGAAACGGAACCGATAGATTAACACGAAAATGTGAAGAGAGATTTTTTGGTATTAAATAACAATTATGTATACACTAGCGGTCGCCCGCTCGCCGGCGTACAAACCTTTTCTGGACATCCACATATAATTCAAGACCAAAATTTGCATTGTTGAGTTATATAAATGGCATTGTTGAGTTATAGCATTACAACGAAAAGTGGCATTGATTTTTATATATATACATGTACTAGCTTTTGCCCGTGACTTCATTCGCTTGAAATAGTGACTTCCTGCAAATTTTTGGTATAAAAACTATCCATGTCCTTTATCGAGTTCTAAACTATGTCTGTACCAAATTTCACAGAAATCGGTCCAGTAGTTTAAGCATGAAGAAAAGACAGACAGACAGACAGAGTTACTTTCTCATTTTTATATTACTTTGGATACATGTATGCATAAAATGTAGGGATAAAAGGCAGATAAAAACATAGGGGTGATCCGTTTGCTTTAGCATAGCAATAAAAAACAAATACCATAGCTTTAAAACAATTTCTTTTTATTTTCATAAATGGAATTAATTGAGCGTAAAAACGGGTGAACCCTATTACTAAGTCTGTCTGTCTGTCTGTCAAAAGTCTATATCTAATAAACAGTGACAGCTAGACAATTGAAATTTGGACAGATGATTTATTTTGATAAAGGCTATGAAAAGAAATACTAAACACTAATTATGTATCACTACATAGTAAAAAATAAAGTCGCTTTCTTTTTCCTTATATCCCTATGTGTGCTTACATCTTTGAAAATACACAAACGAATTTGATGCCGTTTTTAATAGATAGACTGATTTAATTATTCTTTAAGCAGTAAGTAACAACCATTAAGTTGTGGAGTAATTGAGTATCGTGGGTCGCTATTATAAAATAAACGTAGCTACGCTATTATAATATAAGTAGGACCGATTCCGATCCGCCCTTGGCCTTGTAAGCTTACTCAGTTCAATGCGTAAGAATTCTTGTATAATAATAAAAGCATTTGCAATGTGCATTACTCGTGTATAAGTTAGCCATGTCAAAAATGTTCGTATTAATAATATTAATATTGTGTGTGTGTTTTGACGTTTCAAAGGTACCTGCTGATTTAGTTGGAATAAATGATTCTGATTTTGACTTTGATGTGTAAGTTTTGCTTTCAACTTCGACTTCTGACTTGGGACTAGTTAGCAAAGCAACACGAATTAAATGATAAATACACAGTTATAACGGATCTCCTATCTAGTCTTGCAACATGACGTGGTAGTTTGTCTTTATGCAGACATGACAGCTTATTAGCTTCCTAACATCTGGTTGCCGAGCATACATCTTGTATGTTCTGCCAAAGCTTGTAAGTTCTAAGTTTCCGTAAAGCAAGAGTTAGATCTAGCTTCGTCGCTAAATTAGTACTAATTTGTACCTATGTCTATAGACTGTATTTGTGTCTATTTTTACAGTTAATCGATGTGGAAACCATATTCAATTTCTGTTATATGAATGACATGTTTTCATTGTTTACTTTTTAGTTCATTAAAAGGGAACTAAAGATAAGTATGGACCGTATTGATAACACAGCCTTTAAGAATACCGGGGTACGAAGTATGGCTTACTTTATATTTCGCCGTGTAAGTGAGGATACCGGAAGCCCAATCGTTCCCTCCAATCCCCAATCCCAAAATCCACACACAATAAACTACAAAAAGTCGGTGAACCACTTATAGCTCTTTTAGTGTCAATGGGCAGCGAATGGTTATGAACGAAGACATGTCTGCTCTCTTGCCGACATACCCTATAATAAAAGGTGCAAATAAAGACGAAATTGTATTACGGTTTTTAACTTTAACTTAATGCATTGGTAAAGTTTTTAAAGTGATGATGTTGAATGTTACTTGGTGACTTCATAAAGCGTGAAAGCCGTCGGTCTCGGTTGCCATATAAAAGTTTAACGCTCGATCTGCCAAGGGTACTGTATGAGTTTCAAAGTGTCGGAGACAATACAAATCGATATAGAAAATATGAAGGAAAACAGGTACCGCGAGGCAACGGCAAAGATGAACATATTTGTCACTTTTCCTATGCTTCCACTGAGTCCGTAAAGGTAGACTTTAGCTCCATTTACACGATGCAAGTTTGTTGTCTGCAGCATACAATTAATTAAAGCAATAATTGACAGACATGGTCAAAACAATACATGTTATTATAATGGTCTCATGTAAACGAGCTATTACTGTTATTTTCACCAATCAAAAAAAAAAAGAGAATTACTCTGTCATAAACCTGTACCTTTCAAAACTAGGATTTCTTCAAACCTTCTTACGTTAAGGTATGCTTTATTTAGACCAGAAGTGGACAGTGACGAGCAATTTTCGTCTTAGTATATAGAAGTATTTTAGACTAGGAACGTAAAGAATTAATCTTTTTTTCCAGAGTGGTATACGTTGGCGATACAGGGCCAAATAAAAACGTGTCAATCGCTGTGGAGACAGAGAAGAGACTGAGTGACATTTACTATGTGTCGGATGCTCCGGTCGACCATATCGGCGAGTCTGCCTACATGTGTCTACAACCTGGCAAGTGAGTGCAACCGTAGACATGAACACGTCTAAGGGGCGGCAACACACCGTCACATGACCGATATTTAAACTCGTGATTTTACTCATACTACAAACAACTTTCTCAAGCTAGCTGCGGTGTAACATGTCGCGGATTTGATTCCCACACGGAACAACTCTTTGTGAGATCCACAAATTGTTGTTCCGGGTCTGGACGTGTTGAGTATGTGAAATTGTATGTTTGTAAACGCAACTACGACACAGGAGTAAATCCTAGTGTGCGGTAACGTTTTTTTTTAAAAAAAACTGACTCTTTTTCTAAACTCATTTTTTTTTATTTCTGTAACAAAATGAGTGGGGAACGTTCAAACGCGGTCGCGTTAAGGTTCACCACTAACAGCTGATCGGGCGACGTACGGTGGGCGCACGAAGTTTGTTATAAGCAGTAATAAACATTTTTTTTCTATACTAATTAGTTTTAAAGAAAAAAAATGTAAGGGAAAGTTGTTTGTTATCTTGAGTACAACCACGTGTTTAAATATTGGTCACTAATTACCAGTCACCCTGTAGTCGGACTGTTCCATACGATTTAAGACATTAGTGTCTGATACTATGTAACCCACTTTTTGCTAATTCAGTTTACAATGTGATTAGTAATTCGGGTTAACAGATCGCAGTGCATTTTTTTTTGCGCGGCATCAATTCATAAATGGTCTAGGATCCTGTAAAATGCAAAAAAAAACAATGTTTGGAAATAACTTTTTGATGTATTTAATATTTAACTTTGAACATCTATCAAGTCTAAAAGAAAGAAAACTGTTTAAGACTTATCAATTGACAAAATTCAGGGAAAATCCGTTAATCTGGCAACCCTATCCGTAACGGGAGGTGATCGTATTGTCATACACCAACAATTATTCCAGGCTCCATAATATAATTTAACAACATTATATCGATCGGGTATTTTAACGCTTCTCAGTAACATAACAAAAAAAAATCATTAATATATCAATGACTGAAACATGACCCTGATATGTTTTGTTAACGGTGTATAAATCCTTTATTATCATATATCATGGCATTTTAAAGTCAATATTTTCGCAAATTTCTACTTTATTACGTACGGTGCAGATATAATTTTATTGTATAGAAATGTAGGTTTTACTGTGGGGGTGCCAAGCTTCCGCGCAAATCAGTTGCCTCGACCGGAGTGAGACCACGGTCTCACAGAAAGCCGGCGTGACACAACCACAGCGTTGTGTTTCTCCGTGTGAGTGAGGTTACCGAAGGAGGTACCCAATTCTTAATATTCGGCCATTAACCCAATATCCATGTATCCATGGGCAGCGCCAATTGCTTACCATCAGGTCCATAAGTCAGCTCGTTTACCGACCTATCACATACAAAAATAGAAATTTCAAATAAAATTGGTGCAGAAGCAATTAGTTCTGATTGGTTGGTGTCAATATTCATAAAAACGTGCATATTTCACCTCCCTATTTATTGTGAAATTGCACTAGAATATATCAGTTGACATTCTTTCGTATGATTTTTTATGTACAACGGCATTTATGTCATAATAAGGACATTTTCATTTATCATTCGTTTGAAATATAAAGCTTTGTTATGAAAAATATTTGATAGGCACGTTTTAGTTGGCTGAGTGCCAGTGATTGTTTGACAATGGTGCATGGTAAGATATTATATTATCAACTTTATTTTGTTTTTATTTATGGTATTAGGCGGTAAAATATCAGGCCAATCACTATGGTGAGCCATCGTCGCCGCCCTTCACACCAGCAGCACCACCAAAAACACCAGGTTACATGCTTTTGGGGTTTTTAGCCATTTAGGATTGGAAGATTGGGAAATTGAGAAAATCGACGTTAGTTAACCTTATCTACAAGACACATACACATTTAAAGTGTAGTTTTACTTTGGTTTATTGTGTGGTTTTTCTGTTTGAGCCGGCTCATTATTGCAAAAACATAGCTCTCCTACACTTATAATTTTGATGCAATTATTTATACGCGATATCCTGTAATTTAATATGTTGCCATCAAAGTTAATTATACATATGTTCACCGGTCACATCAAAGTGTCGCTTATTTCGCTGTGAAGAATGTTCCATTGCCTCAAATTTGTTAAGTGCATAGTAACAATTTATAAAGGGTGAAGTATGGATTAGCCTGTCATGGCGACTCATCAAAATGCAATGATGGTTGCAATGACCAATCGATTTTTAAACATGCCAATCTAGTTTCATTTTTTTCTGTTACCCTTTGTCCAAGTCAGTTGTTGGATGCTGCAGTTAGGTGCGCATTCTAGTAAACAAACCATTTTACAAATAAACATTGTTACTATTTGCATACGGGCAGTGTTTCATTGTGAAGTAATATTTTTTTAACATTCAAAGACTTACTTTGAAAAAGTAAATATTTTATCTAAACTAGCTCAGTATTGTTCAGTTTTTTACTTAAGCAAAACAAATTCAAAGATTCAAAGAAAAGCTTACATTTGTAGAAAGATCGTTTTCATTGTCGAGGTATTTTCATAAAGACCGTGAGAGTCTAAGAATTAATCTAGCTTGTAAGTAACGAAGTTGTTATTTCATAGTAGAAGTCTTTTTCCTTTGTTTGACTGTGTATTAGGTATTCCACATAGAAACATTTTAATGACCAATTATGTTTTCCATTTTTAAAATAAAATAAAAGTACAAATAGTGAAGAGGTTCGCGCAAATGAGATTTTGTTTTAAAAGGACTTTGCAGCACACTAGCGCCAAATAGTATAATGACTTATACTGTAGCTGTCATATAAGACTGGTGGTATATAAATAACATGGATGAATTATCATGAATCTATCTCTGTCCAGATTTCGTTGGCGAGCTCTGAGTGCGGATGGTGAGATGTCAGGCTCTGGTGAGGGATACCTTCGAGCTGGTGGAGTTTACGTGCTGTGCTTGAGAGAAAGATTGGGCAGGCTGGACGCAGCAGTTCTGCATGCACCCAACCCTCCAAATGAGCTGCATTTGGCCTGGATAGTGCCCCAGTACCTGCTGGTCTCTGTCGCTGAGATCATGTTTGCCGTGTCGGGACTAGAATTTTCATTTACACAGGTGAGAAAAAATATTGCCAATATAACCTTGATACTTTTTCAGTCATTTAATCAATTCAGTTTTTTTTGCGTAAGACCATGTTAGGTAATTGGTTACTCACGACATATTACTTGTTTTGTTGTTAAAATTCCAAACGATGCTTAAACATTAATAAGGGATAATGGAAATAATAACTACTCTTTATATTTTTATACATAAGTAAGTTGATGCAGTAACTGAGAGTTTTGTTATAGGCACCGAAAAGTATGAAGACTATAACCATAGCTGCCTGGTACGTCTCGGTAGCGTTTGGAAACTTGATCGTCATCCTCGTTGCCCAGACCAAGATATTTCAGTCAAGAGTAAGTTGATGAACTTCTTTTATATATTTAAGGTATATCCATCATAACTACTTCTTCTATTTAAACCGTACATTGGCAGCAACAATTTATTCATATTTCGAGTTTGGCTAAAGGCTCAAGGTAAAATCTTTTTACTCGAAACTGGACGTGCGATACGGATTTTTCAAACAAGCGTTACTAAGCTAATTATTGCCTTGAATTAAATTTACGACATGATTAACACTTAACGCTGCAAGTCTGTGTCCATGTTTTTGAACGATAGAGTAGCTGGAATACGTGCTCATTATTTCTGTACATCAGGGTCGTCTAGACGGGGTAGTATGCTTAATCCCCGACACTAAGCTGCAGCACGCTGAGAGCATATTATGGAGAATCTATCGCTAATACACAAACACAATCTGTTGACACAACAAACGATTGGTACACGATTTAGTTTAAGGTTTATTAGAAGCAAACGCTCAGAGGCACGATTCCATATCTTGTATTAACTTGGCAACAGTTCCGTTTGAAGTACTTGCAATACTTGTCACGGTGTGAAACAGATTATTAAATAAGTTTATCCTGAACGTGTTATGTGTTACCATCAAGACGGCAGCCTGTCTGCCCTGTCCACCTCCGTCACATCTGTAAAGAGATTGCTAATTATATTTCCTCGCTGTAATAGGAAAGAAATAAAAATATACACTTCTTGAACGGTTGCCCGGTACAAATTGTATTAGAGATCGGGGGAATCTCGGGTCAAATTGCGGTCGGTGAGGCCGACAAGTAATTTCTTCAAGAATTTGTGCGTTTATTTTTTATTGCTGTGTAAAAAGTTACATGAAATAAAGATATAAACGTCTATATAGTATATAAACATATCTTGTATTGTAATTCATGAATTAATTTAATGGAAACGTCTTATAATAAAGTCATAACGTTCAGTGTTAATAACATATATATGTAGGCGTATTTAATATGCTACTGTAACTAGTAGAATAGCCAATAAACTCATGTAATGCGATGTGGGATTCCAGATAAATTAAACATGATATGTGTGTTTAATACATTTGGCATGTGGCAACACATTAGCTAATAATTATTATGGCAACAAATCAGGCTGTTGGAACATTCATGTCATAACGATGATTTATGACTCCTTGATCCTTCAGATAAGCTCGTCAATTTACTTAGAAGCCACACATTATAATGATAATCATATCAAGTAAGGGACAAAAGTTTATTTACGCGTCTCGTTGACCTGAAGATTATGTCAAAGTATGACTGGACTATCTTACAAAAGTTTTGAAGAGTGTTTTCTTTTTTTAGTAGACTTTTAGTCTTGGTTTAAGTATCGATTTACTTGAGAAACCAAAGTTTTTAATGGACAAAGAGCATACATTTCAACAAGTCAATACTAAAACATCGTAATTCTGTCCGCATATGTAATGAAAACATTCCTATTTAAGCATAATCCAAAACAAAAAGAAAATAACAAAAGCACAGATTAAAAATGTTACTTTAACACGAATTCGTATAATATCGAACAGTTCCTAATGTTTACAATTTTAATCCTACTAAGTAGTTATAGCTCATAAGTAACATTAATGCGAGCAAAGATAGTGTATATTAATAATATATTAGTCGCTTTTAGCATATTTGAGAGCAAGTATTATTGATATCATAGTACAAAGGATAAGTGATGTGACGTTCGCTTTAAGCTAATCAATACAGATACTAATATGGATTAAAAATTCCAAATGAACCTTTTTGCACTTCCAGGATCCACAGACAGAACAGACGAAAGGATTATAGTTCTCTTCCATCTATTACATCTAGTACAGATCTAATGCATTTTTAAATAATTCATATTTATAAAATCAATCCTACTAAATCTTGCAACGCAAGTATTGAAATTGTATTTAGGGGCAAAATATTGTTTTCCTCTATTGTTGTGAATTAATTATTATAACAAGAGTATATTTTGTAAACAGTTTTAATTACTGGTTCTGCTTCAGGCATGGGTAGGCTTTACGATTATTATGATGTTTGTATCGAACTTACACTTTCTGATATCTATAATTAAAATCGATTTTTGCTTATAACTAAACATATTTGTTTGCAACCTTTTATGTCACATCATGGTTAAAAGACAAAAAATTATTCAATATACATCAAATTAGCGCAATTTACACTGAAAATGAGTGAAATTATTTTACATTACCAATTCTCGTTTAATTTAGTTTTATTTTATACATTTTATTGATTGTACTTCATTTTATTTCATTTACCATAAAACAAACATGCGTCACCTGCCGATTTTAAATTTGAAATAGAATAAATAATACAATTAAATTACATATGCAGTAAAACGTAAATAATTTTAAACCAATTAATTCAATGGAGATCTTACGTAATAATAATAATAATGTTTTATGTAGCGATGAATAACGCTACGGATTTAGTCAAAATTTATATTTTATGTTAGTAATGAAATTATTTACCCCAGCCATATTGTTGTTTCTCTCAGCACTTTCTAATATAACAAACTACATATTTGCAAATATACAACCCTATTTGTTAATTATAGTTGTCATACATATTTAAAAAGAAGTAAATAGCAGACTGCTCTTCGAATCTATACACGTTACTGTCATACATGTCTGACTGACAATTAGTTGGGACTCTGAGGACTGAGATGTGTCACCAGGTGTTAAGAATAATTCTCCATTCGACATCCACTGGCGGAAATTGAGAGGTGCATAGTACAGTGAAATGTAATTAGTATGCCTATTCCTTCTAATGGAATGTATTCCAGGATACTTATTTGATCACTACGATTTCAGACATGCCACAGATGTATATTGTGTCGGAGAGTTTAGTAAGCCAGATGCTCCACTGTTATAGCTTTACGCCCGGTACAAAGGATGGTTCATAGAATACTTAATCCGGTTAGGCAATCAGTTTTGATTGGCATTAGGTTGTATTGCCTCCTCTGACTATCCCCTTATGAAGGAATAGAGTAACCTCTGCAGGAAGCCAAATTTTATATTACTTAACTATTTAACGATTTTATTTATTTACTAAATTTGCTTTTGAAAAAATCTATTAAAATTCTTCAGTTAAGTTTTGTAGTTGCTCTTCTTTTATCATAGGTAGCTTGTTTCAGATTTAAGTACCTATTATGGATCGTTAAGTAAACTTGTGCTTAAACTCATTAAAGGCTACTTACTCGTGTGGCGACGGCCTCATGTTGAAGTACGGCTAAATATGTACACGAACACTTCCGCGTCCATTTTTCAAACTACTTAGGATCTTCGTAGTTATTAGTTTACTGGCTGAGAGCATTGATACTTCATTTAATATCAACTGGTTGACAGGAAAATATGATATCATTCTGTATATCTTTGCCTGAGACGGCGGAGTTTGCAGCGGGATTGAAATTGAATTTCATGGTGTCAAATTTTGCAGGCGACTGAATTTTTCGTGTACGCCGGTATGCTTGCTGTCGCTATGTTGGTGTTCCTGCGGATGGCACAAGACTACGAGTCGAGAAATATTGACGCGGACGGCTCGTCCTCAGAAAGTCGGCCATTGTTACACCATCGATCCAAAGTAAGTTGAATACAATTGTGATTTTGAAACACTACATATACAAAATATTGTTTTACTCTTTTGCCATTTCTGAACAAAGCAGATGTTGAATGTTGCGCACATAAACATGATGAAACTCACACTTATTTTGTCATGTAATTGGTACTAAATTGACATTGTTCTAACCCTGAAATATATTTGTTCGACAAATATTCTGTTTACACAGTACACTCGAATTTCATTTAATTTGGAAACAACGAAGACAAAGCTTATTGTGAATTTGTCCAACACCACATTAACATAATTCTATCAGTTGAATTGTGAAAATAATAATATGAAATGTATTTCGCCCGTGTGTTAACGATTCAGTATATTATACTTTTTGAATATAAAATAAAATAACGGTTTCATTATAAGGCGGCGACACAATGGTCTGTATTCAGAATGCAGTATCAGGGAACTTTACAATATTTTACAAAACGAACACAATAGGGAAGTTGTATGGTGTAACTCTAACAGAATTAAGTTGAAAGTTTGGGCATAGAAATAGTTCGTCTGTATTAATTATCGCATTTATTTAAAACTTAAATATAATTTATTTTTGAAAAATTTTGTTAGTGTTACAACATGTTGAGTAGTCTGGAGTTAGTTTTTAAAACAAGAAGCTACTTTTTACATGAAAGTAGATGGCATTTTTTTTTATAAATAAACAATATTTTCTAAGGTATAAGCCAAAAACCTGTTGTAAAAAGAATTAAGAAACCATAAAGGGTGAAAGAAAGATATTGGCTCTACCGGTCCCTATTCAAAATTGCATAGGAAGTTGTTTGGTGTAACTCTAACAGAATTAAGTTGAAAGTTTGGGCATAGAAATAGTTCGTCTGTATTAATTATCGCATTTATTTAAAACTTAAATATAATTTATTTTTGAAAAATTTTGTTAGTGTTACAACATGTTGAGTAGTCTGGAGTTAGTTTTTAAAACAAGAAGCTACTTTTTACATGAAAGTAGATGGCATTTTTTTTTATAAATAAACAATATTTTCTAAGGTATAAGCCAAAAACCTGTTGTAAAAAGAATTAAGAAACCATAAAGGGTGAAAGAAAGATATTGGCTCTACCGGTCCCTATTCAAAATTGCATAGGAACTTTGCCACCCCTTTTAGCTGCTGTAGGTTCTTTAAGAGGCTTAGTGTTTGTCTCAGAATTTTCCACAAAGATGAAACTTTTATGGTTGTAACAAGGTAGAATTTTATGCATAGAAGCCAAAGTATTAAGTATATTGTGTTAAATTTCTATTTATAGGAAGGACTGCTATCCTGCTATACATTTTATACCTAATATTTGTAAAGAGGTTTTAGGTTAGGAGGTTCGAGTGCATTGTACCAATTTCATTCAAATGTTTAATTAATATTCATAATCGCTTCTAAATTCTATAATAATCAATTATTGATTTTCTTTTTACCCAAGGTACACTTTTCAACACTACACATCTTTTGATACAGTATTTAATGACGTTGGCAAGGGTTCGAACAGATAGTTTCATAAAATGATGGTCCAAATTGGTTCACTGTCTAGACTAGTTGGTTTAGCTGTCGTTATGGACCTTCTAATTTATTTAGGCACAACTTAAACCAATGGACTTAATTAAATAGGCCCATGATGAAGTTGTTTAGTCTACCATAAAATGACTTGACCACCACGTGGTTAGATTTCGTTTGCGCGTCATAAGGAATTTGATTTGAATTCTAGCTAGTCTCGGCTTTGTTTAAAAGCAGAAAGTTTAAAAAATATTTATATATTTTTGATGCACAAAGTGACCAATTTTGTAAAAAATGTTTTAAAAGATTCTAGCTTTTAAGCTGTTTCGATAGTGACGCTAAATAAACATCATCATATTATTATAACTCGCACGCAGACTATTACATAATGATATATATACCTTTAGTAATAATGTTTTTTTGGAAACCATGTTTTTGATTTAAATAAGGAATGTGTATATTTTTTCTAATTTATCTGATACTAGCTTCCGCACGTGGCCTTGCCCGCGTTGTATTTTGTTAAAAAATAGCCTACGTCCTATTCCGAAGTGTACCCTATGCCTATATCAAATTTCATCCGTCCGATTAACTTTCGCATTTATAATAAGTATTCGTAAGATATGTGTGAATTAGTTTTTTGAAGTAACGTATAATCTTGTAAATCTTGTCGCAGGTGATATCTGTGCATTCGTTGTCGACGTCAAGTACTCGCGCATTCGGCGGCACGGGTAGCAGTGGTGCTTCGTGTCTAGGGGTCATGGAGCGCTCACGGCCAGCGGCATGGCCTCAACGAGCTTACGTGCATATAGCAACACCTAGCACGGCGGAGCCTAAGGCTACTACGCTGGCGCAGGAATAATTACTAATTTATATAATACCCCTTCCTTAAAAGCTCTATACAAACAATACAAAGAAAATTGTTAATTTATTTTATAGCATACTACTATTATTATATCATACTATTCTACATAATAGAACACTAGTAATAACATAGAAAATAAAGAAATTATAACTAGATTTTACTAAAAACCAGTGTTTGTACTACGTTAAACAATAAGAAAGAAAACGGTTGAAAAACGAGCATTAACATCCTAGTAAAAATGGGCCTCCAACAACTTTTACCCGGAAAAAAGACGGTTCAAAAAATAGAAGACGTCGCTCTGCGCGCCGTCTACAAATGCTCTTACATTTGACGTGCTACGATGCTACAGCGCTACGAAGCCGAGCGTTTGCTCGTAGCAGATTACGTAGTGTTTTAATTTATCACACAGTTCATTTGTTAATCTTTGTTCTTTGTTTTAATTTATTGTTTTGCCAAAAATGCTGTAATAGACGTAAAGGTTATGATGAGTGCTAGTATACAGACAACCACAATTGGATGCCTGAACGCATAGAAATGTGAATAATCTAGTTAGTCGAATAACAGGTGTATCATTATCTATTCGTTTGCTAACTCACTGAAAATTTAGTAGATCAGGAGCTAGTGGTGCCCATAAATGATACTAATATTGACAAAGCCTGTATAAAGGAATGGCAGATAAAAAAATATAACGTAAGTATGCGAACGTTTTTCTATATAGTTTTGAGGTTTTATGTAGAACATAAACTTAATGTTGTAATTTGTAATTTTTCTTAGTTTGATAATGTATAATTTATAAGGTTTACTAATAAAATTGTCGTACTTGAAGCCTTTGTCAGTGTTTTATGTTTTAATGAATATTATCACACATCCCTATAACCTGAACCTAGTAGATTTTAATGACAGATTTGTAGTATCAACGAAACTAAGATCATGAATTTTGGCATTTTGAGCTATTGTAAGTAATATAAAACTAATTTATCCCTAGCAAATTAAAAAACTAAATTACCATGTTAAAATTGGTAGCTGTGTGCTTCTGTCTCTGTATATTTTGCCGTATCCAATTTATCCATCGGCAAATCTATTTGCATAGTTTGTTGATTGCCACGCTGATCTGTAATATTAATGCGTCTAATTGTAAATATTTATGGCATAGCAGCGGCATGGGAGCTGCCAATGTACCGCCTGAAATTTCTCCTGGATTATCGCTTAATGGATTTTCGCATGGGATCAGAATGCATGCATATATACATCGATTGTTCGGGATGTTTTAAATTATACCTTTGTATATGATTAATTAGTCTTTACTCATAACAAAACAGGCTTGTTTCTTTAAGTAGGTTTTGTCTTAGTTTTTTTTTATTTATTTACACTCTATTATGAAGCATACTATATTAGTTGAGTATAGGATGGGTAGAATTCTGAACCTAAATCTGGACAGCGAAATCTTTGACGATCTTAATACAGAAAACCAAGCTTTATTTTGCCATCTGAGTCAACTGACATGTTCAGGCAATTGTTGAATTTCGAGTACAAAATGTACGCGTCAATTAGTTATCTGATAACTCGGTTGAATTGAGACGCATCGAGACGATGTTACATCACTGCCTTCAAACAATAAGGCAGTCTCAGGCTATCAGGCCAGTCGTCTGCGGTATCACAGTTCCAATCACATCTCTACGTAAGCTACGTGCACAATCAATTATTGCAAGACCAGCGCAATATGATCGCTGTAAAGGTTACGGGCGAGAGCGCTCTCCGGCCAACCCCTCGTTTATGACGGTGACGTAAACATATCAGTGACCACATCTCCGCCCTAATTGAGCCCACGAATGACTCTTGGGAGCTTATATTGATCTTATTCTTTACACATGGACTAAACCTCACCCCGTATTATCCCCGATAATGCGGCTTTGCTCCCACAACGCTTAAATATTTGAAATCCAATATACCTGCCTGTAACAATGGATCATTTTATTTACAGATAAATGTGGAATACTGTCCTATTTACTTCTTTATATGTTCAGGGTTATCACTTGTTTCCAAACAGATATAAATAATGATGACATTAATAGCACTAGAAAACATAATAATAAGCAATTATTATTCGAAGAAAATCATTACTGGAATGAGGGAGACATACCTACACTCAATAAAAAGGTATTCTACACTAAAATTGTGTTTACTATTTATTTACCTACATTTCATGTTTAAAGAATGCAATAATGCTTTGACCCGGTCAGCTCAGTAAAGTATGAGATCGTATATCTAATATAGTAGTACTGAACGCAGTTAAAAGTGCACTGAAAATGGGAAAACGATGGTATTTTCTGAGAGCCATTGTTGTGCAGGAACCCTCATGCAGGCTTGGTATGCCATCGTTCCGACAGGAAATAGAACAATTGTGGGTATTAAAGAACAATGGTGGGTAAAATATCCGAAAAAACTATAGCAAATACTATATAGAAATAAAAAAGTTAGATTAAGAGCAACTTTGCAAAATTTCAGGTGTTCAAGGGCATGAGAGTGGCAATCCGGGAACATCCCTACGTAGCGAGTATACGGCGGAACTTCATGCATTATTCGGTGGCGACTATGCTTACTAAAAACTTGTTCGTAACTGTCGCACATCCTTTGATCGAGTGAGTTAATGAATGTGGTTTCTGTGCGCCTAATTCATCCAGCTAACAGCTAATATTATCCGAGATTGAATTACGTTCCTCTTCTCCATTAACTAATTACCTGAGACAAGAAATATGCTGCTCCCGCTTCATTTTAGCTACCGCTACAGTCTGCTACACTGGGCGCTAAGTAAGCTTAAGAAATGTCACGACTCTGCAACATTTTATATTTTTTTCTCAAATAAAATGAAGTTAAGGATTTACCGGATCAGACCAATTAGTACAGCGAAATCTAGTTAATCCTTTAAATCAATTTTCTTATAATTGCTTAGATTGGTAGAAATGGAATGAAAATCTACGGTGAATAAATACACTTTGAAAAAGGTTTTCAGTGAATATCAATAAATACTAGCAATTAAGAACAGAACTGACATCTTGTTCTATTTTTGAAAATTATAATCGTATTTGTGTCTGGAATTTTGAATCAATGACGGGCCTACTACATAACATGAATTGCAGACGGGTTCAATGACCATGACCGCACTCATGGGTTGTAATTCCCGCCTCACAAGCGCCCACAGATTGCAACATCCACTATTTATGAATTTCCAAAAAAGTTTGTATTTTTCGCGTAAGAGTTTTTTAAATAATTTTTCGCTTACGAATAATAAAAAAAGAAAGTTGTAGGAAAATAAAGATCATATTCGTAGATTACCTGCTAGAAATTAACATAATCCCAATTATGTTATAATGCGAAGAGTCCTATGTATTTTAGAAATAGAAGTCGGTATCTTGTGGTATAAAGCTTGCTATAAAATTGCGAACGTTGCAGATATATTTTCTTAATACGTCGGGCACTCGGAAATAAGAGTTAGATACAATCTGTAATTTCACCAAAACCTTCTTCTAAATCGGAACGAAGCAATAGCTGCAATGCCGTTTTCTGGTTTATTGAAGGAATAAAAATAAAATGATACTCTCCAACAGATGAGTCTATTGCCGTGTTTTAAGAAAGGCCTTTTTAGCCTTTGTTAATAAAGACTTTAATATTGTATGCCATTTTTCGGGATGAGATAATCATCAAATGTCTTTTCTCGCCTAAAGTGAGGGAGGGATGTCAGATTCACGCTGGCTTAAAACCACTTCTTTGCGTTGACCCGCAACCTCAGCCGCTGATTTAGGTTGTAATATTCCATTTTTTGTGTTATTGCAATGAGAACAGAAAATTTTGGCTGTACAGTTTCACGTTCATGTCGTCACAGAACTAACGTGAAACAACACAGTGTTGTGTTCAAAATCATCATGAGAATAAGCATACAAAAGGACCAATCCTCTACTATCTTCTTCTTAAATTCCGGGTCATCAAATCCCGAAACATCAGAAGGCACCTCATTTAATTGCTTTCCATTTGATGTGATTGCGAATCACAATAGTTGGCGTTTATTGTCAACTGATCCGCATGCTCGTTTGGAGCTCTATTTCATTCAAAAACTAATGACTTATAAGCTCCCTATCCATCTTTATATATATAAAAATTTCGTGTCACGTGTTTGTCCGCGATGGACTCCTAAACTACTAAACCGATTTTAAATTTGATTTGCATTCCGTGTGCATTTTGATCCAACTTGAAAGATAGGATAGCTTACATCTCAAAAATTTATAGTCACAATATTATTTTGACAAGAACCTTAGCCACAGCAACGCGTGGCTGGATCTGCTAGTATTATTATATGTTAAAACTTTCAGTGTACCGCTTTATGAGCTGGCGATTGTGGTGGGCGAGAATTACGCTGACCGAGGAGCCACGCTGCTGACTGTATTATTAGTTATCGTTCACGAGGCTTTCGACAAGTACACATTGGCAGCTGACATTGCCCTGCTAAGGGTCTTCGAAGATTTGTCCTTCAGGCATGTATATTGTATTGATACTCATTCGCTGGAGAAGGTGATGGATATTTGTCAAAGAGTCACAAACATAATTGTTAATAAGTACTTAGTACTGACGCCCATAGACCAAAAAGAGCCGTCGTCAGAATCGCGCATTACCATAAGATATAGTGGCAATATTTGACTGCACGGTTGGTGCGGTGGCTGGGCAACTAGCTGCCATGCAACGTGTCACGGGTTCGATTCTCACACGGAAAAACTCTTTGTGTGATCCACAAATTGTTGTTCCGGGTCTGGGTGTGATGTGTATGTGAAATTGTATGTTTGTAATCGCACTTACGACACAGGAGAAAATCCAAGTGTGGGGCAACGTAAAAAAATAAGTCATTTGACGCGGAGGACTAAAAACCTATGAATTTAGAGTTATTTTAGCATATAGTGTCCCAGTTCACAATTGAAAGACGTATCTAAAATTTAAGAAATGTATGTGGACAGGGTTATCTTAAGTCACTTGTTGCAAGCCTTCTAAGGTTCCAGTTAACTTCAAATAAAGAAACCTCTTATATATTGTTCTCAATGTTTGACTCGTTTGCCAGACTTCGTGGCAAGGTAAATAATGAGACTGTAGATGGTTAAGGTCTGTTTATTACTTTAATTGCTGGTGCTTATATACTAAGAAGATGCGTGAGATTTTCAGATTTAGCTATCTTAACAAACGTGCAACAATTAACATGTATGTCTTATCTCTATCGTATCTAAGTAATGTAGCGACGTGATAGTGCCGCTACATATACTCCCCCCTTTTAAAAATAATTAACATATAAATTGAAAAAAATTAGTATGTACCTAATTATATAATAACTTAACCTTGCTGATAAATTACATCCTATGCGTAATGTAATGTCATTGTTGCTAATTCGAAGGAAATAAAAACTGCTGCCTTTGTTGTGACGGCGGCGGCAGTCGATGAACTATCCACTTTTACTTGTGTCAGCAAGTGACGAATCGTACTGTCGGCTTAACCGCCCGTCCTGACTTCGTGATGTACGTGTTCCGCCCGTTGTGATTATTTTCTGAATTTGGCACGTTCGTTCCACTATTGAAGACAAATGCAGGTTTTAATCGGTCTTGCACGTGCTGATACCGGTGGTCCTTTAGTGATAATATGATGCTTAATCTTGTGTTTTGGAGTAGTGCGGAGGGAGGCTGGTTTCGTAATATCCTCGTATTCATTTAATAGTTGAGTAATGCGTGGATTCGTCTCAATGTTAATAGTGCGGATTGTTTGCTGCGTCGATTTGATCAGGGTTGCGGGCGTTGTCAGCTCAGTTACCCTATCTATGAGTTTTCGACCAGCTATATTGACTAATAGCTTATAATGCTCTAAAAAATCTGCTCCAATAATCGGTTGTGTTACATCGGCGATGACAAAGTTCCATACAAAGTTTCTTCGTAGCCCGAAGTTTAAAGAGAGTGTTTTTTCACCATATGTCTTAATTTTTGTACCATTGGCGGCATAAAGTATACATTGTTCATCTTGTATTAGTGAATGTCTCTGTGGCTTGCTAATAACTGAAATATTTGCTCCCGTGTCAATCAAAAATCTCATACCACTTTTTCGGTCGGTAATAGTGAGGCGGTTGGACGGGTGAATAGCACAGAGTTCCGCCGTTGTCCGTGCTTCAATTAGTTTCCCTGTTTCCTTGAGTTGAGATCCTGTTTCCAATCACAAGGTTGAACACACTTTTGTGCATATTTTTTAAATCTTCCATGGTAAAAACAAAAGTGCCTTCTTTCTCTTGAACTCGACTGTGGTAGGAAATGCCGACGATTGGAATAACTTTGAGTGCTGCGTCGATAGTTTTTTTGACCTTGCTGAATTACATTTAGTTCCAATTGCATTTCTGCTAACTGTGCTAGTATGCATGACATTGTATCGTCGCCAGATTTGTTTCCGTTTACAGCGGACACCTCTGTACGTGTTGAATTTATTAATATCTTGTCCGCGATCTGGCTCATCTTGTTCACATCTATGTCTTCTGTGACTGCTAGAACCGAAGTCACTGATGGTGGCAGAAGCCTCAACCATAGAAGTTTGATGGTTTCGTCGCTGATATTTCCGTTACTCAGGGTCCGTATCTTGCGCAGAAGATGTGATGGTTTCTGGTCGCCGAGATCCATTTCAGACAATAATTTTTGGAGCTGACGTTGGTCTGATTCCTCATAGCAACTGATTAGGCGTTCTTTGATAGCCTTGTACTTTTCTATTGGCGGTGGGCAAGTAATGAGGTCACTAACCTGTATTATTTCTTCTTTTGGCAGTTTTGCAATGACCGTATAGTACTTGTAATCGTCTCCTTGCTTCTGTGGTGCTACTATGGCTTCTAGTTGCTTAAACCATAATCTGGGTTGGTCCCTCCAAAATTCCGGAATACGGGATAAAATGGCGGTTCCGGCTGATCTCCAAGGCTTCTTGTTGGCTGCTGCTTGATTTGCAGGGTGAATGAGTCATGTTGATTGTTCTTCGTCGGGTCACCAATTTGCCAGACTTCGTGGCAAGGTAAATAATGAGACTGTAGATGGTTAAGGTCTGTTTATTACTTTAATTGCTGGTGCTTATATACTAAGAAGATGCGTGAGATTTTCAGATTTAGCTATCTTAACAAACGTGCAACAATTAACATGTATGTCTTATCTCTATCGTATCTAAGTAATGTAGCGACGTGATAGTGCCGCTACAACTCGCATGCCAACATTTGATAGGTAATGTCTTAATGAACCTAATTTTATATACACGCGCTGCTTAAAAAAACATTAAACTAGTTAAATAAATTACATTATATAAGCCTCAGCTAGCAGCTTGACTCTTCGCTTTCCTTGTATCAAAAATGTGTTACATACGAGATAACAAAATTACTCACACAGCCATGGTGGCGAGCCTGTGGATTATCTCATTAATGTAGCGAGTTCCATTATTCATAATATTAATTTACTACTATCTTCCAATTAACAATATTCTGTATAATACATAGTAAAGACCCATTCAAAACTAAATTACATTACACAACACGAACACTAATGAAATATGCGCACTGCTTTGTGAATAAACCTGTAAAGTTTAACGAAAAATTTAAATTAAAAACTCAAAAACACTTTTATCAGGTCTCAATAAGTCCTGGCATTAATACTCAAGAAACATTATTTTTATTATAACTTTCGTGAGACATTCTAAATTGTGTGTGTGTGTGTGTGTAATTGCGTGTCGCAGAATGCTGCTCATGTATATGGGCCTCTAGCATGGCTTGAAACTAGTCGAGTATCTCGTCAAATTATTACGTGAGTAAGTCGAAAACCCAATAATTAATCAAGAAACATTCTTAGTATTTATAGCTATGCAACATACGTGTTTACAACATTTCAGCTCAATCCATTGATTATTGCTTTATAAGTTTCAATATTCCACTTTATCATAGTCACTTGGCACATAAGCTTCATTTTTTGATTTGTCTTCGTGGTTTTGATAAGAAATAAAACATTACCTATTCCTTGAAGATAAAATATTTTCTTTTTTAGACCTAATTTTGATTAGTGCATAGATTTTTTCAGTTTGGATATTAATTATACCATCGATTTGCCAGGCAGTAACTCAGTGGTAAACATAATATTAACGCATGCTCTGAAACATGATAGAAGTCGTGTTTTAATGCTAGAATTTTATGCCACTTTTGTTTACGAAATGGTATAAGACATATATTCATTTATTACATAAACATTCTGCTCTCCAAAGAATACATACTTTGACATGAAAAGATGACTTTTAAAGTACATATTGTGTTTGCTCAACGTTGTAAGCTGCAACATTCTGTAACGTTCATGGAAATTGCTTTATTTATTTTTCCCTTTCATATTCATAAAAGTTATGTTATTTTTTGCTTGTAACGTGCATTTTCTTAATGTAATGTAGGTAAATATCTACACGTGTTTAGCATAGAAAAATATTCTTCATTCCGAGTTCGTTTTTCTAATGTTATTGATAAATACTGTCTGTCTGTTTCGATCTCTTTACATTCCTTACAGCCTGAGAGCCAAACAAATATCTTGCTTCAGTTATCGTGTTGATGTAGTAAAAATGCACACAGTGTTTATTTACTTTTAATTTACTTCTATCTACGGCCTTAGCCGTGGCAGGACTTAGAACGTCATACCCGAGCGTATGACGCGTAGCGTTCCACGCGAGCCTCAGAGAGCCAATAAACCACCACAAGCGGGGCCCTATAGGGCTGATGTTCAGCCGGGGTTGCGGGTTAAGCGCAATGAGTCGCCGCGGCCTCGGCCCAGATCAGGAGAAGGAATAAGGGATTTTTAGACACTAAGAGCCTTAGCAGGACTTGACGAATGGCGCATATACTTCGTTTGTATAGACGTGATCTACACGCCAGAAACAATCTTTACACTTAAAGTGTAGGCAACGCAGCATGTGCCTACACTTTAAGTGTAAAGATTTTTAATATCATAGTAATCCAACTTCAATGTAAGATACTCACAGGCAAGGCTTGATAAAAAACAAAAGATATGATTGGGGATGGGCATTTTTATATGTTCCGATTTTTTCAGGTGCTCAGTGAAGGTTATTCAGCTGATGGACCCGAGGGTTGATCTGAATAAAAAACGAGCGTTCGTCACGGGCTGGGGGCGCTGCGATCGCACGGTTGTACCATTTTCTTATATGTTTAGACTAATAACACATTATGATAATATTATGCACATTATAATTACATGTAGGTAGTATTTGGATACTAGCAACTAAGATTACTAGCTACTCTCGCGCGGTTTCACACGCTGCTCGGCTCCATTTAATCGTAGCGTGATGTTTTATAGCCTATAGCACTCAGGAACATTGTAGCTATCTATCAGCAAAAGAATTTTGGCAATCCGACCAGCGGTTCCAATGATAACCCCCTACATACAAACTTAAAAAAATGTCTCTTTATAATATTAGTATAGATAAATTGTCTTAGACAGATATTGTGCGACACAGTAACTTTTCACTCGCGACGCGGAAGAATCGATCGCAATCCCGAATGCATTTTATAGATATGATTTAATATGTATATATAGTAATTAAGCATGTCTCACGATAGTTATTATAAAAACATTGTCTTAGACACTTCTGTACTATTTGGA